GCCAGTAGTTTCGGAGCATTTTAGAAAGGTACTAATCGACCTACGAATTCAGCTTCGCTCTCCTCGCCGCTCGAAGGCGGCGGGGGCCCGGCTCCGCACCGTCCCGGGCAGGGCACAGCGGCGTCAGCTCCGGGCGGGGAACCCCCGCCCTGGGGCCGCGGCTGACCCATTTTCGGGGAACGGCAGGAAGGGCAGCGCCGCTCCCCGCCTGTCCCGGCCGCCCCGCGGGCCGGGCCGTACCTTGTCGGTCTGAAAGCTGACCGGGGCTCCGTATCGGCAGTAGGTGACGAAGTGCTCGCAGTTGTTCCAGAGCAGGCTGTAGGCCGTGTCACCCATCAGCTTCTCCGCCCGGCGCGCCGACTCCTCGTTGCCCAGCACCTGATCCTCGAAGAGCCGGTCCATGTGGTTGACGAGGATGCTGCCGCCGTAGGCGAAGTCCTCCACCGTGTCCACGCGGACGCGGGCCGTCCTGGCGATGACGCCCAAGATAAGCCGCTTGTTGGTCACCACCTGCTGGATCTGCTGGACGTCGTCGGTGAAGGAGGGCAGGATGTCGGGCATCAAGTGGGCGACGCGGTTCTCGCCCAGGTAGATGCCAAAGTGAATGAAGAGGGTGCGGGGCACCTCCAGAAGGTCTCCCCTCTTGAAGGAGCTGGTGTCGTAGTCGCCGGGGACCGGAGGCGCTGTCTCCCCGACCAAGGCCGCGAGGAAGGGCCGGACATGGACGTGGACGAGGAGCATCAGCTTCTCCAGCAGCAGCGAGGCTGCCTGCTGCACCGGATTTTTCATGGTCGGCTGGGCAACCCCTAGGTGCCTTCAGTCAGCCCCCGGCGCCCGGCTCCGCTTTTCTAGGCTCCCGGTTGGGCGGGGCGGGCACCGGGGCCGGCCCATCGGGTGAGCGGCGTGCGGGGAGCGCCCGCCCCGGACCGGCCGGGCTTTATTGGGGAGCGCGGCGGGACCCCCGAGCCGAGCCCGTGTCACTCGGCCTGGCCGCGGCGACGGAGCGGCCCCCTGGACGCCACAGTGCCCACAGCCCGCACTCCGGGGCCGGGAGCCACCCGCAGCTCCCGCCTCGCGTTCCCTCGGCGCTGCCCAGGTAGAAGTGCAAGGAAAAGTGCGAGCGAAGCCCTGCACCCGCCCTGGGGAGAGCAGGGAACAGAGAGCCCCGCCCGGGGCCGCAGTCAATTCGTTCACCTTCCCCTGCCCGTCGGACCCCAGGGGCCACCCTGGCAGCCGCAGGGTCCAAGCGGCACCCGGCTGGGATCGGGGCGGGCGGGCTGGCACGGTGCTCACCGAGGGGCGGGAGAGGGGAGCGGAGCGTCTTTCTTCCTGGAAAGAAAACAGGTCTCCGAGAGAGAGCGGGAAGTCACATTTATAAATTAACTTGCCCCAGAGGTCCGCCCCAGCTAAGAAAGAGTGTGAATCGGCGGAGGGGCATTCCCACCCGCTCAGTTTCATGCTAATCCTTTATGCAAATGGACAAATCCTGGCAACGGAGCCCACAAAAGAGCAGCCCTGTCAGGTCAACAATGCCGCCCCGGACGAGGCTCGGAACTTTCAGTAGCCGAGCAGGTTCCCGCCCCCTCGGGAACGGCGGGATGATGGATGGGACAGACATTCATCTTACCTGGAAGATGACAGGGCCCGGAGAGTGGCAGGGGAGGGGGCCGCCCCCCCGCCGCCGTGGCTGCAGCCTTTCCCCGAGTCCCCGCCGCCGGGAGCTTTGTTCGTGCCGCAGCCGCTCCTGCCCCGGCGCTGCCGCTCCGGCTGCAGGGGGGAGCTTTCGCCTCCGTGAGAAACGCGGGGCGGGCGCAGGAGCGAGGGATATGCGTGTAAGAATGCTGGAGAAATTTGTTGGAGCATCTTCCCTTAAACTCAGGCGAATAACCGCAGACACGGCATGCCAAGTAGGAAACAGGGAAGTGAGAACTGCTGGTGTGCAAGGGCTTGGCGGCTCTCCACAGGAAAACCGCCTTTAAACAGTAGGTTATTTTTCTCTCCTCAGTCGCTTTAAATCCGAGAGCCTGTGGATCACTAATGAGATCTCTAGACCACCCTCAAGCTGTAGAACCCCTTTGGTCACACCAGAACAAAAAAGAGAAAAATGTTCACCATTCCTTTTTCTTTCCATTAGCAGATTGACTCTGGTATGACGAGGAAGGCAAAGGGGATGCAAAGTACCCAGCAGGCAAGACCCTTCTACCACAGATACTGAACCAAGGTTCAGGATCTTATGCCCAGGAAAGCTGAAGCTTATCAATGACCCAACCCAAGTTTTTCACTTCCTTGGTGAAGAAAATATTTCAGGGGAGTGGGTTACCTCACTGCTTGTAAACCAAAACGATGGGTGGTGTCCTCCAGTTTTCTCCTGCTTGGAGCAGAGAGGAGCTTCCTGGGGAACTGAAGATAATCCTCACCTTGCTTTGTCTGCAAAGAGGGAGGCCCACCCTAACCTCTTGTTCCATTGTTGATTACAGGCCAGAGCCCCAGCACTACTTAACAGAGTGATCAGGCATTTGGGATTTTGTCTGGAGAGTCTCAGCCAAATTTTTACGTAACAGAGGCTTACCCTTCTCAAGCCCCCGACTTCAAATCACTTTGCTTACAAAAGAGAAAATACCTTATAGATGTGGCTTATGATGCTGGAAGGAACTCTGTGGATTAGCCACAAGTCACACACAATTATATAAATTAAACCAGTGTACTTGCAAATTCAGATTTTAAATATATTTGGAAAGTTTGAAGCTTCTGCTAGTAGTAAATAAAAACAGAGGGAGGAGGGGGAAACTACTCATTTTTAACTAGTGCATTGTCTTTAAGGGACAGGGGAAAAGAAAAAATGCCTCATCCTGATGGGTCTTACCTGTTGATGATAGTCACAGCAGTTGGTCCAGAGCTGGAGCAGTGTGCCACTGAAGGCTGTCAAACATTCCACAGAATGTCTTGGCACAGAAAGGTTCCTGTCTCCCTCCTGTGAGGATGTGCACTCTTCCTCATGTGCACTCTTCCTGCCCTGTGTCGCCATCTCAAGATTCCCCCTCCCCCTTCCCCAAAGCTGTCTAGGGAGTGTCTGGATGGTCTCTGTTGAAACAGGTGCTAGAGATGCTTCAGTCCTACAGGTCAGGATTCTTTCCCCTGCCCAAAGAAGGTAGAGAAATTCAGCTGAACTCCCTGGCAGACACAGGCATTTGCCAATGGAATCTTTCTCTTGGAGGCATCCTTTGTTTGCTTTCTTCACGCCAGTTAGCTTTAATCCCAAAATCACCAGGGTTTGTTTCAGGTAAATCCATAAGGAGACCAAGATGAAATCGAAGAAGAGGAATTGCCACAAGAAGACGACTCACAGTCCTCCTGCATGGGAGGGTTTCAAAGTTTTAAGTTGAGAGGTGTGACATTTATGCAGTGTAATTTCCTCGTACCTGAGACACTGACAATTCTCATCTGTCCAACCCCCACCCCAAACCACTCGCTTGGTCCCAAGCCTGGAAACCCCAATGAACAAGCTCAAAAGGCATTACAGAGCAGACAGGACGTTGGAATGGGTTGCAGCAAGTGAAATCCATCCAGGTAATGCTTTGCCACTACCTTCCAACTGATGTGAGCATTACTGTGTGCAAAGTATTTAATACAACAGAAAGTAATTTCTGAATTAAACCATTCAGTTTCTTGAACAGCAACTTGCAATCCAACATTTTCTGCTTTCAAACTTGAGGGGCTGCACTCCAATTACTGACAAATTTCCATGATGTAAACTGAAATTTAGAAGGCATACTTACCATTATTTTTCGTCTGCTCTGAAGCAGGAAAAAATATTTATTTCAGTGAAAAAATGGCTCAATGGGAGGTGGCAAAACTAAAAATACACATTGTGCATCAAACACTGGCACATGCTCTTGGGTGACCTTTGAATAACAGCTTTTGTACCTTTAATACTCAAATTTAAGTGGAAAAAACCACTTGGGAATATTAAATATAAACCAGCAAACACTGAGAAAGTATTTCTTTGGACTGTTAACTGCTATGGAACAATTTCATTGATAAAACCCATGCTTTAGTTTTGAGAGTTAGGGTGAGATGCAGTAAGAAAGCACCAAGAGGTAAGAGAATGCAGCCTTTGTTCAGTAGTGCAGATGAGCCACAGCACAAGAACTTCTTAGGTAAGAAGTGTGAGCCAGTTTCCATTACACTGAAACTCCTACAGTAAAAGGAACCTTATTTTATGCACTAGGCATTACTGTTTCCACCATGGCCTCACAGCTAACACAGTAGAGAAAAAGCAGGAAAGGCAGGCAATTGGAAAGGTTAAGTTCTTGCTTATATGAGGAACAGACCTGGTTTAACAAGCAGGCAAAATGAATTTTTTAACTGACTTAAACCAATGCTGGCTGCAAACATGCTCAGCATTTGACATTTTACCAAACATTTCTCTATTACTCAAGTTTTGCTGTAGATTAAGAAACAAATGCAGCTTTCATGTCTTCTGGGACAGCTGAAACAAGTACAGTTTCACGAATTCAAAACATGTTAAGGCGTTCAAGGAGAATAAAATCTTTGGATAGGGATTTTTGGAGGGTATAATTTGCAAGAAAATTATCTGAAAAGCAATGCCACTTGGTTTAAACTGGTGTACTGAAAGAAGGAATGGACAGAAAACATGTTTTGAGGGATGGTTTCACAGTGTCCAAAAGGGCTATTGCAGAGATAAAAAATAACGCCTTTGTATTCCCATATCCAATCCATTTGAACACTGTACCATTCTTTTCATGAAATTGCAGCTTCCATTCTAGAGCTGTAAGTGACCAGGTCTCTAAAAACAGTATCATTTACTTTTCCAGTTTTTGTATTTGACAAAGACTAGGGACAGAACAGACAAAATCTGAACAAAGAAGGAAACTGGCAAGACAATGCATGGAATTGCAGGCAAGTGAAACAATCCCAAACAAAGAACCTTTGAGCTAAGTATCACTGTCTTCCTGTAGAAGATAAATGACTAGAACAAATTTATACTTTATAAATATTCACTTTTATTCAGAAACTTATTGCATACACATTTCCAGAGTCACTTAAGCAGCATATTGAGTGAACTGCAAATAGTTACTGTAGCCTTTTTATCCTTGTAGGTTTGTTACTGAGGCCTATCAGGTTTGTGGGTTTTTTTCCCTCTTAATAGGCTTCCAAATTATTAACAAGAGTATTCTAACAAACACTGACTGTAAACATAATAAAACCTGCATGCTGTTTTCCCTTTGAAGTTATTAACTTGGGTACTTTTCTGCAATGAAATAATGACTCATTTTTTACAACCTGACTGAATCATGCTGTAAACATGGATAGTACTTACGACTCCCTCAGAGAATAATGTGTTTAGATGAATAAAGCATTCACTTATGATACCTTCAATTCAAATGAAGAAAACCACAGAAAAGGTGGGAATGTTTCACTGCAGAGTCCTCCTTAGCAAGCAGGAGGCCAGGAAATCAGTAACAGTGATAGCACACTAGGAACAACTAACAGATAGTTTTGGTGACAATTAAGAAAATACTTACTTTTATAGTTCTGTCTGGTATTAGTAATGTCTCATTTTGTCAGCACTAAATTAATACAACTGCCCCCCAAAAAGCAGAAAGATTAATTTCTGATTATAAAATGGCTGAACATGAGCAGTAATATTTTTGTGGCTTCAGCAGAGAAAATACAGTTATCAGAAACTTCCACCCTGCTATTGTCCCAGAACTATAATACAGATTTCTGAGTCTCTTCTAAATCAGGTGAAGAAGTTTAGAAGTATCCTAATTTAAATATGCTAGTCATATTGTGCAGGAAGATGGGCAGGTGATAACTGGGAGTCAGAAGAGAGAGTACACTGCATTCAGCATGGTATTCCTTTCACAGCAGAAGACAGACTTTTCTGTGGGAACGGCAACGCAAACAACGGTCAAATGAACTTAATCCAGGCATGACTCTGCTGCACAAAAGGATGACTTAACAGCCCTGAAACAAAACCAGGTATCTCTCAACCCGGCCCCCCTTCCTCTCTGCCAGGACTGCACCATCCCAAGGAAGGGTGAGCAGGCAGACTCTCCTTTCCTCATGATTTATTTGTTATCTCCAAATTTATTACCAAGCCAAGATCTGTGATTTACTACTAGTCAGTGCTTTGAACCGAGGGATTAATTAGTAAGAGATATTGGAAAATGTAATAATAAAGCCTGTCATTAATCAGACAAAGTGCTGGAAGTTTGGTGGATCACCACCAAAGGTCAGCATTTACAACCAGTCACTGTATAACAGTACCAATCATTACTTTTCTTTATTGCCCAACAGGGAAAGCTGTTCCCCAGTACCAGACAGTGCTGCCTTCACAGCAATGCACAGCAGGTTACCAGCCTCACTCTACACACAGGACAAACACAGCTGACAGGAGAGCAGTCCACTGAATTTTCTTATAAAGACTGAGAAAAGGAAGAGAGAGATGGACTGAGCAGGAGGTAATTTTCATCTCGGGATAAAGATTATCTTGTCTTATAATTAAATGTTATGTTGCAATTTGATTAATTCTATTTTTCAGGAAATAAATTAATTCTTCATCCAATGTATTATCTAGCCAGGAAATGTTATCAGTCACAGACAAAGCTATTAATCTGGTATTACTCAAAACATTTGCTAATCTGTGCCATATAGCTAAGCCTCTGAGAGATAACTGTCACAAATTTCTACTCTTTTACCTTAAAAAAAATCTCACTCAAGAAGCCAGTTCTTGTTTATAACATGTTTTTATACCACTCAGTGTTAAAAGTATATATATTAAACACCTGTTACTCTATCAGTGATTTTAAATCAGGAACATTTTTAATCTGGAAATCCAACAGCATCTGTCCAAGTGCTTTACCCTGTAAGAAGAAGAACCAAACCAATATGTCATTTTACTATCTATCACCTTTCTTAATTAAGTTTTTTAGAAGTGGTTCAATAGAGTATTTTTCTGGTAATCAGTGAAAATTCAGTATGTTTTGGAAAGTTTTTATTAGTATTTACTTCTATACACACATATACATATATATATGTATTTAACTTTGGGTGAGTTTTATCAAGCCTGAGAATGCAGGTTATCCAAAGTTATATTTACCTTTTCCATTTATTTGGCTTTCTCACTTGTGAATCAATACAATTAAGTAAGGAGAACTATACATTTGAGTTTTCAGGCACCTAAACATGAATAGATGGAACAGTTTCTTCAGCTTATTTGGTACCTAGTGCTAAAATACTTACTTGGGGTTCAGTTCTACTATCCAACTCATATACAGCATCACCTTATTTTGTGAGCAGTCTGCTTGACTATGCTGAGATTATTTGTACACACAAGCACTTCTGAGCCTATGGTAGCTGTGCCGTAGCCATGGCACTGCCAGGCTAAAGGGTCACATCTTCAGGATTAGAGGTTTCAAATATTTCATACTCAAACTGTACTCTTAGGAAGTGTTACTTTCAGGTTCACATAATGTCATCAACGCAAAAGAACTCCTATCCATCCGTTTTTCATATTTATATTATTTATCAGTATTTTAACTATAGAAGGCATAGGAAGAGTTCGGAGTTGCTACACAGTGCATGGTTCCTGTAAAAATACTGGGAATAATCAAAGTTGTCTAGTAAATCTGCATTTTTCAAAATGTGACAGCCTTTTTGACAAACTAATTTTGCTGATGCATATAAAAACTCAGGTAGCACAGCTGAGAATAAATGATTTGAAAACTATCTCAATAGTTTCTCGTACACATTTTTTTCACCACATACTCTAAATCAACTTTCTACTTCCCTATGTTATTTTCAAACCTTAAAAAAAAAATATAGGTAATGTCTCTTAACAGGAAATTAAAAGGAAATAGAGTCAAGCCCAAAAGCTTACAGTTCCACCCCAAAAGCTTACAGTTCCACCCCAAAAGCTAGTTATAAAGAGACTTGTAAAAGATAACTACATTAAAACCATTGCTTTGATACGTGCCTGTGGGTCACTTCTTAGGGATGCTATACCACCACCACCAAGGGAATTCTTCAGAACAAAATTTAATCCATGGATTCCTGGCAACTCGTATCTGTAAAATAAAAACTGCACATTATTTCTCAAGAGATTTTGTAAGGAACATTTGTACAGAACATCAAGCAAAGCCAGCATGCAAAGGTTTCATGCTTCTGATTGCATCCCACTGCCAAGTCAAACCTAGAAGTTAAGATTAACTCAAGGCCTTCCCTGCCTTTGTGTTCCTTCCCCTTACTCCAAATCAAGAGTCCAAATAGTTTGAAAGTAGGACCATGAAGTAATCACTCTCCTCTATTCAACTCCAAAACTCATGCCTAAGGCATGAGGCCTCTAATAAGGCCATTTCTAGATTTCTTTTTTCTATGAGTTAAAGCCCATATAGAAAGCTCCGTAGGCCAGAGGTTCAAGAACCAACACCAACTCAGACAACACAGGGGGCAAAAGGAAGTATTTTTATTAGTTCCTAGTTCTGATACCGAAAATTACAATCCCTTAATTCCTGGCACTCACTTTTGCTAACAAACGCCACCAGCCCATTGGAAAGGCATCCTCTTGATTACTGAGAAATAACTATAAGTCACTACACCGAACTCTTACAACCAACAGATAATTCTGTAGCAAATTAAAAGTAGAGCTACATTTCAATGCTTTCTTGGAGCAAGGTACTTTGTTCAGATGAAGTTTTATTTTAGCGTGACAGACCTATTTTTCTGTTCCATTGCCACTGTAATAATTTTTCCATTCTTGATTTTGACTGGTACAGCTCCAATTTGGAAACTTCTGTAGCAGTTTGGCAAATGGCTCTGTGGTTTCCTATTGTTCCAAATTCCATAAATAGGTCTACAGTGTATTTCCATTTGCCTCTCCTTGCACAGTTTTTCAGTGTTTTGTCATCTTCCTTCTACTCTTGTTTTTCTTTGGTTTTGCTTTCCTCCAATATTTTCTTCCTCTAAGGACTAGACAGTTTTCCTTTAACTCCTTAGGAAAGCATTTAATCAAAGCATCATCAAGCCATGAGGAATAACAGAGAAAAATTATATCCAATTCTCACTGTCTCCAGATGTTTGACTGCTGCACTTTAAATAACACTTCCTCCAACACCACTTATTTTTCTTTAGCCACCTATCTGGTCTTCATCTGTTTGGGACGCGTTCTTCCAATCTTTCCCCCGATACAGCTGGAATTTCTTGCAGGGCACTTGCAACTGCTTATTTTGTCATTCTAAGCTTCAGCTCCTTTTGAGCATTGTGAAAATCACGGTTGTTGCTGACATTCACAGCCCTGTTTGCCCTTGTATCTTGGGCGTATGACCCAAACCTTTAATGGAAGGAGAGGATTCTGCTGAGCTGTCTGGCAATCGCTTCAGTTCTTGTTCTCGCAAGCATTAGTCATGGAGTGTCTGTGTCTGTCTCCCAGACAAAAAGTTTTCACTGTTCCTTCTACTTTTTTGTTACCACACTCTGAGTTTTATTAGCATAGCTGTATTATACAACGATGTTATATTTAGGAGAGTTTTGTCTTAGTTGTCATTACGAAAAAAAATTGGCGTCAGCATTCTGTTGCCCTTCCTTAAAAACTAGTTGGCAGGAAACATTATCATGTTTAAATGCAAATCCATTGGGAAGGCAGGAAAGTAGAATAATCCACCAGTGCTCTTCTAGACAACAAGAATATGAAGAATAAAGCAACTTCTACAATAAGTCACCTACATTATTTACTATAGAGCATAATCAACTACACAGCACAACCAGAGGACCCCCCATAAAATTTTCAACTAAAAAGCTCAATACAAATTACCAATCACCACATACCATGAGAGCTAGGCACTACACTGTAAATCTCACTCTGAAAAACTTGCCTAGTTTTCCAGGCAGCAAACAATTTCACTACTGGCAGATCTCTCCACAAGAACTAGACTGATGGAATATGTATTTCAGAAGCCAATACTTCTTTTCTCTAAAGAAGTTTCATGAAAATCAATCAGGAAAAACAAATCAGGAGAGAAACTGAAGAGCATACAAAAGTAGAAGCGAATGACAAAATGAGTGGAAGAATTTCATTTCACTTTCTGCAGTAATTCTGGCAGAGGAATTATGTAATATAGCAGATCTTTTATGTATATTATGTAATAATATACATAACTATACATAACAAAACTATTATGTAATATAAACAGATCTTAATTTGGAACATTTTAAAATGGCACACTCATTTTAAGTACTTTGAGGAAATACTTACAGTGATATACTCTAGCTAAAACTAGGACTACAAAATAATATACAAAGGTCAGCATCTTCAATATTTTAAGGCCTGTTTGAAGCATCTGAGCATTCAAAATATTTCCACATAGAAAATAAACTCCCACGATAAAAGAAAAAAACCACTGTAATCACTGTAATAGTCTTAAGTGGCAACAATACATTAACCAAAATGTTGGCAGGCACTCAGCATAATTAAACAATTTAAATTTAATTAACTGAGATCTAAAGGAAAAAAATATTATCTAATTGTACAATTCAATCAAAAGTTTTAAGAGCTGCTTTTAAAAAACACAGAAAACAAATAAACCCTTCAAAGAATCATAAGTGTGACAGAAACCAGTAAAACAAGGAAAATTCACTGTTCTAAGCTGAACTCCTATGCTTATGCACTACAGGGTGCCTGCTTAACTACTGCCTTTAAAGTGCTGTCTATACATAAGGAAAGAAATCAGGCTTCCCTCTGAATTTCCTGTTAAAATGCATGGAAATAATAATGACATAAAATTATTTAATGCGTTTAAATCCAGGAAAAGATAGGATTCTTTTCATCAGAGAAAAGAAGGAAACAAGTCTGTACGCTTACAGAGATGTTTGCATGTAGAGAAATATTTATTTTTCCCCTCTAATATGTACCAAAAAAAAAAAAAAAAAAAAACCCACAATCTAGAAGTACCAGTATCCACATTTCTGCTCTTAGTGAAAAGTACCCCATAGGAAAAAATCAGGTGTCATTTTTTTTTTTATTTCTGCATGTTCTCAATATATTCCATATACAATATTTCAGAAGACAAAACCAACAAAAATCTCACAGGATAGTTTGACCATCCTTCCTAAATGTTTGACTTAATACCATTACTTTAAAAGTTTCTTATTCCCTATCTTAAGATAATCAGATCTGCTAAGAATGTACTCTAGCACTTTATTATGGAAAACAATCACTTTGGTTAGGGGGTTCAGGGAATGGGGGGGTTGAAAGACAATCTTTTGTTATTAATTTACCTGAAAATTCTAGAAGTTTGAGCTTTCAGTGTTTTCTATCACAATAATCCCACCTTTTCTCTGTTTAGTACATCTATTTAATGCCTTTATTGAAAAAGCATGAAAGGCAACTGGTTAACAGACTCTGTTCTGTAGTGAGGCTCTATTTTATCAGTTAAAACTAAAAAATAAACAAGTAATTTGAAAAGAAACTACACAATCTGAAGCACATGAGCATAATCCTTATAATCCTAAATATTTCCACAAAAGGTTTTATTCTTTTTCCCCAGTAGCTTTCCAATTCACTTACAGAGCTCCATTATCACATCATTAAAGGAAGCCAAACTCAGGAACAGATAATCTAATTAATCAAAATAATTTGGCTTCATCCAGACACAGCAAATTTCAACTTTTATTTGTGAACATAAACAGCATTAAAGAACAGCAATGAATCAATTTCTAGAAGTATCATGAGGAGGCATGACATTTTTGATTTCTCTCCTTCTCCGCTCTGTTTCAGAGGAAATTCAATTACATTTCTTAGCATCACAATTTATCAGATACGTAGACTTGTTAGCACTTACAAAACAGTGGGTAAGATTTGCACTGAGCTGCTTATGAAGACAAAAACCAGCACTTACAATTCAAAGACCAGGGGTGAAAATAACTCCAAGCTCCCTCTGAGCTCTGAGCTGTACCGTTCTGACTAAAGCCCTCTGAACAAGCAAAAAGACACCTAACAATTTGTCTACTACCCATGGAAATATGTAATGATTTTGGCAGAATCTTCATATTTTCAAATAACTGACTTTGTATCAAAACACATTTTAGAAGAGTAAATAGTTTAAGCTTTTACGTGTTTGCAAAGAGAGAAAAAGGTTTAAAATCTGTTTAAAATCTGGGGACTGTATTATGGACATCCTAAGGAGAACAAATCCTAATACCTCATGCTACAAGAACACCTTATATCTCATTTGCCAGTCCCCAGGAAGGACCCTGAGCATCAGCCATACCATGAAAACAGAAATATTACATATGCTGTCTGCTGGAAGAGGATATTCTTTTCTAGATGAGTATCAGGTAAAAGTGTCCTGTTTGGGATGTATTCTCTTTCCAAGTGTAAGAAGGGAAATTAGCTATGTGTTTTCTTTAAATTCTGGCTTTGTATGTGTGGCACAAAAGTGGGTGATAGTGGGGTACCTGAAGAAATACTTTCTCTGAAGTGAGTGAGCTTCATAAATATTAAAAATGTTTTGCAGAAACAGGGATAGTATGAGGCATGTTTCTGACAGAAGATCGGGTAAGTCTGGGCTGCAGACTATAGAGGCTGTGTGAATGTCTTTCAGGTGGTGTTTTACAGATTTCGAACTCTCAGTTCAGCAGTGGCTCAAAGGCCTGGGATGCTTCAGTTACTAAGGCTCCTGCAGTTTCCAAACGGTTCAAAACCAATGGAAAGATAAATTTCTCAAAGGGCATTAGAAGCCATTTCTTGTTGATAAAGACATTCTGTACCAGAACAAAACAAAAACAAGCCCAACACTCCTATGCTAATACTGGGAATTTAAATGCCTTCACTAAACGGATTCACAGCCTTTGTCCAGCTTCAGCACAGGCCCAAGTTCAAGTTCTTTCTCAGCCATTACGCTCAAGTTGTTATTTAAAAAGGCAAAAGGAGATACATAAAAATATAACGAAGACAATACGCACAGCTTTGCAATATGTATGTTAACCTACTTTAAGATAACTTCTGATACCATCGTGTATCTACCATACAACTGCAGACTGAGCAGCAAGCTACTCACCTTGTTACTAGTTGTTCTTCTGGTTTTTCATGCTCTAAAAGGTGTTGAAAGTAATTCTCCAGGGCTTGAGCTGTTAAAGTTTTCTTTAGGTATGGATAGTAGAGGGGATGCCGTGCTATCACACCTGTTAAGTATTAACTGGCATTAGTTGAAATAGGAGCTTTTAATACCAATTTGTATTTATCCTTTCAAAACTGATCTGAGATCCTCTGCTTAACTGAAACTGTACATATGGATCCTCTTTAATGAGCTCCTGAATAAAAAACACAATAGTATGACAGCTCTCCCTCTGTCAGTAGAGATGTAGGGTGGAGCATGACATAAGAGAATGCTAAGTGACCACAAGGTGATTACTGGACCTTTTCTGTCTGCAAACAGTCCCTGCCACTGAAAGACACCTAAAGAACAACAACATCACAACAAACAACCCACAGGCAGTTCTCTCCCCTGAAGTGGTTTGCAAGAATTAGATAAGCAATCACAATGAACTGTAACAAGGCATGATCAGTGACTGAAGGTTTGGTCCTTGCCCCACCTCTTAAATGAGATTCTGACATTAAGTGTGAGAAATCACAGTTACATTTGCATAGCTGCAAATATGCTTTCATAAGCTTCAGTTAATTTTATGCTGAAGCTGAGGTTCCAGAGCAGGATCAGGAAGGCAGATTTGTGTCAGAGGGACCTTTTTATCTACAGACTTTAAAGACTAATTTATCTGAGAGGTCAAGTTTGTTGTAGTTATTGTTGTTCCTTAATAAAGCAGCAGTGTCTTTTATAACTGAAGAAGTCTATTATAAGTCAATCATGATGTGGCAATGCTACACTGCAACAGTGGTCAACCATGGGGAAAGGAAAATTTGAAAAAAAAAAAAAAAGACAAAGAAAAATAAAATCAATATTCTTTCATTCTTCAACCCAAAAAACCAGTTTCACAAACAAGGAAAAGAAAACTATATTCCTAAATACAAATGAACAAAATTTATCAGTTTTAGCATGACAGCTAATAGCAAATCAAATCCCAAACGCACCTTTAATTCATACTGAGCTTTGAACACCACACGCTCTCATCTTCCAACAAGTAAGAGAGCCAATTGTTGCATGCAGAAGTAAGGAATAGAAGGAATTATTAAACAATGCAAAGAAGCAGCACAATCAATGTAAAGAGACTGCACACTGAAATACAGCATTTGGATTAGCAATATAATAAAAACATTCTCTTACATACAAGAACTATTTTGTTATTTCCTAATACTGTCAATGTTTTAGCCATACACGTTACAAAATTCATGTATGAAAATACTACACATGATCAGACAACCAAGAAATTATATGACATAACACATACACATGAAGGAGTAGCAACTGTAAGAGGAACCTTAGAAAGGCATTTCTTAACTTTTGAGAGCTCAACTTTCAAACCCTAAACAAAAATCTTTCTTTGTAGTATGACATGCTAGTATTTTTTCTTAGTGCCTCAGATTACAACATCTGCTAATCAGGAAACTCATGCTATTTCTTTAGTAAAATCCTTGTTCTAGATGTATTCTTTTTTGTTTCAGCACAATTACAAAAAAAACCCCATCAAGTGATATGAGAGATTTCAAGAAATTAAGAACAGAACTTGAAATGTAACTCTTATGTGAGAATCTTACATCACTTCAGAAAGCAAGAAAACTAAAAATACCTATGTTTGCTGAATTGCCTTTGTCTCCACTTCTCGTATAGGCAAGATCTTCTAAGCGGTAAGTATGTGGACCACTTGGCAGATCTATACAATATAAAAGTGAATACATTTTAAAGATGCTACAAATGATAGCATAATCTGAAGATGTAACTGTCATTTTAAGTGTATGCTTTCTGCATACATTGTAATAACTCTGAAAACATTTCCAATTTTCCTTCCCACAGGAGCACCTACAGAAAGAGAGGTGAGACTGGGTCCCAAAATTATTGTTCCCTCCTGCTCCATCTCCTTTCACCTTTTTACAGCATCCCCTCTTCCAGCACCCTTGAATGGGCATATTCATCTTGGCCTTAGCAATGCAGTACCTCTGAAAGAGGCATAGCAGCCCCTTGTCAGTTCTTGCCTACCTGACAACTTTTATCCCCCTTAAAACACAGATCTCTCTGCTTCCAGTGCAGGTAGCAAAATACCTGTGGTTGCTACTGTCCTATGATAATTCTATGCCTGTTTATTCTGATAACGTCTGTAGAAAAGTCACAATTTAAAATTTCTTTTCAGCACGATACGACTCCCACTTGCATTTGCACTGTTGTAACAGTTACTTACCCAGCTGCACAGAAGAAACCTAAGGCTTCTAATTAACTGGTTTTTGTAAATATCTTAGTATTATATGAGAAAATGCATGCTCTATAGGAAGCCAATCTCAATTATTTTATCCATCTACATATCAAAAGGCACACCCACTCCAGTCCAAATCCAGAAATTCCATATTGTGGGATCACACAGAATACACCTGAGGTTTGATGGCCAAGTTGCACAGCACTGACCTCTTGCAACTGTTGATGACTAAGAGCAGTAGGCTGTCACCAATCTACTTTCTGTCCTTCACAGTGAGAGATGAAGCACTCACTTTGCTACTGAGTTATTCCCTGGCCACAGCATAACCCAAACTTGAAGCATAGGCTGTATCCAAAGGCTTTAGGTAGTGAGAATCTAGTAACTTTCAGCCAGTTTTGCCCCTGATCCAACTTGCCTATGGCCATATCAGCTCTCCCAGCATCCCTGGCTTTTCAGTCCCACCCTCTCCAACAGACAGACCTACACTCCTGACTCAGAGTAGACTTCTCACCCCTCAGCTGCTCTCTCCTCTATCTCCTTCCTGTTGTTTTTCATCCTGCTGCACACAAGTTGCAGCTCTCCCCCTCTCTCTGCTCCTTGGACACCAGTAGGGGGGGCCTATGCAGAGCAGGGAAGCGACAGCCTTCCTGCTTTCTGTCACAGCGTCGGGTACAACTGCTGCAGGTGGCAGCGACAAGAAGCAACTAAAAAATGTCCCAAAACGATCTACTTCTTTTTAAAGCACCAAACAATTCAGCCATGGGCTCATGCCTGCCACAGGAAATTTCAGTCTTATTTATTTAAGACCTATTTGTTTAAAACTGCCACATTTAAAGGCACTGAAGTCAGGCTCCTGTAAATCTATTATGATGGACAAACTTCACGCTGCCAGATACAATGCAATTTGACAATACATCAGTCTGTCCTTCCTGTACTATTATTGCTTCTGCTGATGGTACCAAACTACTTTGGGCATTTTTTTTTTTTTGCCTTTTTCTTTTGCTTTTTTTTTTAATTTTAGGGAGTAAGAGACCTAACACTAAAGATGTTATGCTCTAAATGCTGGCCAAAGGCAGTGAGTGTATAGAGCATAGTGCACTTTATATGAAGGCATGAGTAGATATGCACTCCATGAACTGCATCAGATGGTCAGGTAAACCCAGCCCTAAACAAATCATCACTGCCTTTAACTTCTTCCTGCTCACAGGGAATTGCTGACTCATCAGACGTGAGCCAGGCTGACCTGGGTAAGAAAGAAACTATGTCCAAATCCCACTGGCTGCAGTTTTCACTGACCCTATCAGAAAGGGGTGGCTGCAATTCTATGTCAGTAGGAGTTGGACAGATCTCAAAAGTTCATTTGGGTATGGGGTGGGTGATAGAGCACATAACAAAAATGCCTTAGGATGACATAACACAGAATTTGTATAGTATATCTTAGTTCATGGTACTTATTTGGTTGAAGCAGATCAGGCAACACGAGAATAGCCTTGCTGACACATGTGAGTGGCAATAACAAGGAAAATAATAACAAAGAACTAAGGGCTCACCACAGCAACCTCTTCTACTGGCACAGCTGGATCAGAAAATCTACCCACAATCTACCCAAACACCAACCTACCAGCATTTAACTGCCTTAATTAAGACCAAAAGTTTTGTAATACATATGGGGTCATTGTCAAAGATGAGCTGAAGGAGTGATAATAGTTTAGTCTGGCACAATGGCCCCTCACTGGTAAGTCAGTCACAGTAGCATGAAATATGAAATGGTGAGAGCATACAATGACAGAGATGTTTGTTTTGAACCTGCTCACAGACTTGTCCATTTTCACTTAGAAGCTGAAATGTGCCATGAAACTTGGCAGAAGGTATTTAAGAGTGTATTTATTTAACTGGGGAGTATTATTTTTGATTAAACATCTCTATTAAGAGAGAATCTGAAAAAGCCCAGCTAAAGCTCATTTTGGACAAGACTACCACACTTCATACACTACAGAAATCACATTAATTTTAATAATGTCATTCAATATGCAATTCAAGAAAAAATGAAGTGCTTCTTCAGAGGCTGAAGTTTGACAATGTCTAAACTGTATAAGCTGTAGAAGTCTCTTCTCCATCAGACATTTTACAGTCAGTCTTTGACAATCTCCTGTTAAACAAAACCAGTTCAAGAGTGTGTTCTGGTGTTCTCATTTATTATTACCCTCACTGATTTATTTTTCGTGATCCATTTATCAGGAAATTGTTTTCATTTAGTAAACATCTTAAACAAATCTATCAAAGAATTCCTGTCAAAGCTAAGGAAAATGGTAAATTCAAATTCCACCCCCCTCCCAGAATCACATCTAGCAGCTTATTTGAAATCCATTTTCACATATTTCTCTTATCTATTCGAAGACAACTAACAGTCCCGCACACTTGAGATAACCATGAAACTAAGAAAAATACTTCCCTTCTTTCTAAATACTGACAGAAAATGCTTTACCAGAAGCTATTCCTTTTACAGTCTAACCCATTTGTCTTTCTCATCCATGCTGTCCTGCATTAAGCCACGGAAGTAGGTAAGTATTTAGCCACAGACAGAAAACATTTATATTTATATTTACAACTAAGGGCAAAAGTTTAGAGATCCTTCTCAGGGGAAACAACCAGAGGAGCTCTGCTGTCTCTCAAAAGTGGGGTTTTGCCTGATACAAGCCTGAAGAATTCAGTACTTAAATTCTGCTGTCAGGCACTTCAAAGTTTTCTCAAGTGATAAAAAGGCAATAGGGAGTCCAACAGCTTTTTGCTTCTCCAATATTTAGCATTGTAGTCACCTTGAAAAAAGAAACCAAAAAAACTAGGACCTTTGCTAGACCCATTATTAAACAGAACAATGACTTCCTATTCCTTAACTTGCCCAGTCTGATGGTGTAAATACCCCACTGCCCTCCCGAAGATTCCCAGGGATCAGAGAGATTCTGGTGGGACATTAGATTTCCAACAGATATAAGAGCTGAAAACATACTTAACTTGTTTCTGAGTGACATATATATAATCACATTAAAGAGATGTTTGAATAGATGGGGAAATGAACACATGCATGGCAATCAGGCATCCACCATCAGTGGCTTTCAAATAGTAGCAAACAAATAGTCTTATGTGTATTTCAAAATTTCTCTATGTGATACAGAACCTTCCCTACTAACTCATAATTAGTTGTTACCCTATTCTATTACCAGTTTCAGGAAATACTACTCACGTATATCTGAAATCCAGAATAAATGTTATCACACAGGTGCCTTTAGAGCATTAATTTTTCAAGTATACAGACTTACAGTAACTGAATTACTCTTTCAACATCAGTATTATTTTTAGAAATTTTTCTAACAAGTAATCTTTAGGTACAGTCACCTGATTTAGATTTGCAAATACCTATCCACAGCTTTAAATTAATTCTCTCAGTTCTCTGGTATGCAGAAATAAGGTAATGAAGACCAAAAGGGAATTATGGAGCATTCTATATGTTAAGAAATACTATATATCACTCTGCCATTAGAAAGAACAAAAAATTGCAAGTGTCCAGCACCTTCAGTAATCAATTATATGAGCAACTCTGATTTAACACTTCCTTTTCATTGTGGACATCCTGACCTGCTCCATTCACTGGTTTGCCCTTCTCGAGGTTCTTCTCAGAGAATTTGCTTAGACAAGTCTAGCAGCAACCCAAGAATTATCATGCTGGATCATTAACTAGTGTGATTTCTTTAAAAGGTCGCCAGTTTGAGGTTGATCCCGTTCTTGTTAATTTTCTGAAGGCTGCCATATGGAACAGGAGCAAATATCAGTTTTCTAAATTTTAATTATCTAAGCGCTGTAAGTCTCTAAGTCATTCTGTATGTCCATCCTCTTTTCTGAACACAACTAGTCTGATGTAGGATAAACCCAGCTACTTCCAGGATTCACAAAAAGTAATATTATAATACACTTTGAAACCATGTTTCAATTTCAAGCTATCTCTGCAACATCTTCAAGTGCTTCTTAAGGCCTAGTATTTTTGAACAACAATTTACTTACGTACTTGTTATAGTTTCAAATACATTTTATAGTGCATGATGCTAACCACCTTCCTTCCAATACAAATAGTTTAAGTGTTTTGCAAGAGCTATAAAAATATCTCTCATAAAGAGGTAAAATGTATTTCACAGACAAATCTAACATGCTTTTCCAGGACAAAGATAAAAAAATCATACAGTCACAAAGATGAACATACCTTTGAATTCACTGCTAATCTTAGGTGGATCAGATGAAACCACTTCATCTGATGTAAACGTGAGATCCTCCTCAAATACCTCAACATGCTGCCCATTTAAAAATAGGTCAATCTGCATGAAAAATAGATTTTCAAACTGTCAAATTAGAAATCCATTTCAATGTTAATAAATAAAGCACATTTTTAATTAATTACTGATGCGGTATATTTTCAGTTACAACTTTACAGATAAGGTTCTGTTGCTCCCTTTTAGAAAGTCACAGTATGATAATAATTAATTAAAAACCTAAAAGATATCTTTGTGTAGGGGAAAAAAGGTATGAAAAACCCAAAGAAATGCTCTAGCCAGTTTGGTATGATTTAAAGGAAGACAAATATCTCTTTCCACCTCCCTCTATATGCTGCAACACTACATGGAATTTCATGTCACAACTCTTGACAGTTAGATCCCAAATCTTGAACATTTCCAGCTGTTCCATGATACAACCCCCTTTCCTTCTTAATGTCAATGTCCATATTAAAGACAACCTACTCTTTGGATCATGTATTCATCTTCAAACATATTCTGTGAAAGCCACCAATAAAAACAAATCAATACTGGAATTTTGGGTTTATGGTGAGATAAAAATATGAAATAAAAAATGCTATGGTGTTCATTTTGCACAATGAGCTCTCCCTCTCACCCCACCCCTTCAAAAATCTGTACAATGCATAGTCAAGTGTGCTATTTTATTAGCTGATTGGGCTATTTACTGTCCTCATTTATGCTGGCATAGAGTTCATTTTCTTCCTAGTAGCTGGCCAGTGCTGTTTTTTGGATTTAGTATGAGAATAACATGGATAACATACTGATGATTTAGTTGTTTCTCAGCAGTGCTTACTCTCTATATCAAGGACTTTTCACTTTCCCATGCTGCACCAGTGAGAAGGTGCACAGCCTGGACAGCTGACCTGAACTGGCCAAAGGCATATTCCATACCACAGAGAGTCATGCCAGTTTATAAAACAGAGGTGGTGGGAGTTGGCTAGGAGTTGCTGATTGCTGCTGGGGGACGGGCTGGGCATCGGTCAGTGGGTGGTGAGACAGTGTACTGTGCAGCACTTGTCTTTCTTGGGTTTTATTGCACTCTTTCTTCTTTGTTGCCTGCCTTTTAATAACAACAACAATAACTACTACTACTTTGTTTCAATTATTAAACTGTTCCTAGCTCATGGTTTTAACCTTCTACCTTTTTTCTAATTTTTCTCCCCATCACACTGGATCAGGGGAGGGAGGTGAGCGAGTGGCTGTGTGGCCCTTAATTGCCAGCTGAGATCAAACCATGATCACCATGTCCTTTTTCACACCCAGCATGGGGCTTAATGGGTTCAGATAACAGCAAATCTGACTAGATCATGTCAGAACACATTTGTTACAAACATTCATTGTGTTAGTTTAATATTCACTGGTCACAATTATTTCTTTGCTCTCAAAGTTGATGTGTTTGTTCCCCAAGTTCCATTATGTAACACCTTACATGCCGTATGCGTTCCCTGTCTTGACGTTTATCACCCATGGAAACTGGGCTGAGGTTATCAAGTTATTGTACTTTGTAACACTGGCTTATGATACGATATAATTGCTGGTTGTGAAACTAATCTGGTATTTGCACTCAGCACTGCTGTCATTTCTGTACTTGGGAGTCATCTCTCAGAAACTATTAATAATTATACCTTTTTCCTTTTCTTCTCAGAGACCCAATCCATGGAGGGGGGACACACTTCCCTTCATCTTCCCCTTCTTCAGGCTAATCACAATAGCTATTGACAATTTTTAACATCCTTGGGATGTTCAAACTAGAATGTTCCTACTGCTATGTCTTCACAGAACCACAGAATCAATTAGGCTGGAAAAAACCTCTAAGACCATCCAATCCCGTCCATGGCCCAACACCACCACGTCAGCTAGACCATGGCACTAAGTGCCACAGCCAGTCTTTCCTTAAACACACGGAGGGACAGTGACTCCACCACCTCCCTGGGGCAGCCCACTCCAATGCCTAATCATTCTGGCACAGTTTAAGACTATGTCCTCTTGTCCTACCACTGGTTGACTGGGAGAAAAGAATGACCTCCACCTCACCACAACCGCCTTTCAGGCAGCTGTAGAGAGCAACAGGGTCACCCTGAGTCTCCTCTTCTTCAGGCTAAACACTGCCATCTCCCTCTGCCATTCCTCATGAGATCTGTGCTCCAGTCCCTTCATCAGCTCTGCTGCCCTTCTCTGTACATGATCCACACCTCAGCATCCTCCCTGAATTGAGAAGCCCAGAACTGGACACAGTACTCCAGGTGTGGCATCACCAGCGCTGAGTACAGAGGGACAATCACTACCCTGGTCCTGCTGGCCACACTGTTCCTGACACAGGCCAGGATGCCACGGGCCTTCTTTGCCACCTGAACACACTGCTGGCTCATGTCTTCTGAATGTGTTCCAGGTCTTTTTTTAAGGTTAAACAACTATTTAAGAATACTACGCAGAGATCTGCCCCACAGAGAAAGTCTTGGGAGTGGTGGTTGATGAAAAACTCAACTCGAGCTGGCAGTGTGCACTCACAAAGTTAACTGAATCCTGGCTTGCATCAAAAGGAGCATGGCCAGCAGATTAAAGGAGGTGATTCTCCCCTTCTACTCTGCTCTTGTCAGATCCCCTCCAGAGTACTGCGCACAGCTCTGGTGTCCCCCATATGAAAAGTGCAGGGCACTGTTTGAGCAAGTCCTGAGGAGAGCCACAAGGTTGAAGAGAGAACTGGAGCATCTCCGTTGCAAAGACAGGCTGAGAAAGTTGGGGCTGTTCAGCCTGGAGAAGAAAAGGATGTTTGGAGACCTCATAGCAACCTTCCAGTATCTGAAGAGAGCCTACAGGGAAGAAACCAAGAAGCTACAATCACTTTCTAGGGAAGGGGACATTGACAACTGGATTTGAGAAAGGGACCTCAGCCTCTGGAGGTGACTCATATTAAGTCTGAAGGAAAGGTATCCCTTCAAGGAAAATGTTTTATGCCACCCAGGTAAGTGGACTACAATGAAGAGAGGTATCTAGTACTTGAGAGAATTAGCCATGCTAGAGATGATTTATTACGGCCTGAACAATGCACAGCTACCCACAGATCCAGATGGAGCCCAAAGCTCGTGACCCACATGGCAGCAATTTGTACAGAGCGCATCATCATCATATGCCAACTAACTGGCAGGAATGACCTGGAGAGATGAAGAGGCACTGACGGTGGATCAAGCAACTCGCCAACACAAACAATACGAAGGAAATTTCTCTTCCTCCCTATGGACTTGTGTCTTGGCTCTGGGAAAACTGTATGAATAGTGGAAAAACTTGTCCTGGGAGTTCCAGCAATTCAAAGAGAATACTTTTTGCTCCTCATCTGTACAGACCAGTATCTTGGCTATTGACAGTAAGCATTCTTTTGCTCAAGAGAAAGGATAGAGAAAGTACACATGGCAGGATACCCTGCAGTTTTTCCTGCAGGACCACTGAAAGGACGTAAGGAAGTGGGAAGGAAGCAAGTGACATCCATTTTATCTGTGCTGGAAGACGCCCAGTACTAAAGATTCGGTCATACGATCAGGTTACACTACCACAACAAAACAATATAAGCCAGCTTTGCTGCAGCAGTTATCAGCACTCAGTCATCAGCAAAGGCAAGATAACTCTCCTTAGCACTCTTTCTTACGATTGTCCTTAGAGAATAACTAATAGTGACTTGCCTTTAGTAGGTTTGCTACCATTTTTCTCCCTACAGAAAAGTTTTAGGTTACCTTTAAGGTACACATGGAAAGTAACTACTATTTGAACTGTAAAACCACTGGTGATCTATGATAAACTCGGGACAATTGCATAAAAGCCGTGGAAACAACAAATGAGACATTGAATCCAAACTGACACCCAGAAAGGTGTTAACAAACACAGAACAAAAGAACCCACTGTAGCAATATTAACATAACTGAAAATCTGCTTATGGAGGTTTTTTTTGGTTTTAGGTCAAATACTGAGCTAGAGCAACCAGACTTTTTGTAACTGAACTTCCAGTTTAGAAAAATCCATACTTTACTTACTCTGTAATCTCTTGCTAGACCATGGTTGTTAATACATGGCTAGAATTTTGATTCAAGGACTTGAATCACACCCCACTTTTACTGCAGGACAACAGTGATAGGACACATTGCACTTCGCTAATGGTGTATCAGTACATACATACAGATTAGTTACACAGGGCAAGGACTTTGGTTTGAAGTATTGAAAAGAATACATGAGACTCTGCTTTCCTTCCTTGTTAAATCAGGTTACTATTTAACCTCAACAGCATTTTATCAAGTCTGGAATAGAGTACTAATTAGTAAGTTTATATTTAATTTGATGAGCAGTAAAGTTGTAGGCTAAACTTCCATAAAGATAGTACTTTCATATTAAACGTCACAAACACAAGCCATTTGTATATAGCAAAATTTAAGTGATAACAAAAACAAGTACTTGAACTTCTTTTTAATGATTTTCCACTAAGCACAGTTTACAAATAATGTAATTATAATAACTAAATAGCATCTCGTCTCTGAAGTTGTGAAATTAAAATATTTTCCATTAATGCAGAATACTGCTTAAAAGAACGGAGCTCATTTGTGCTAAACACTGTATGAGGGTTAGAAAGTGAAAAGTCCCTTTCTGGTTAAAACACTTAAGTTGTTGTGTTTGTTCCCCCTTGCCAACCTTATCACTTGCTGCCTGTGTTCTCAAAGCTTCCCTTCACCACCCTAAGCAGGAGCCTGTCACAACACCCATGGTCTAGCACAGACCAACATTCTGGCCTTTGGCCACTTTCTTGACAGTGGATGAGTGAGAAAACTCGTACTGAGTATGAGGATGCCTTGGCATGAGAGACATGTAATAGATACAAGTCACTTAAAGGCCTTGGAAAAAGAAGGGCATGTACACGATTTTGTCCACAGTCTCCAAAGGATCAATTAAGTATCTGATGGCATTCAAAAGAGCAGACATCAACATTTATAAATTCAAATATTTTATGGTTTCAGCAAAACCAAGTTCTTTAAGTTTATCTTGAAGACTTCAATCTAGACGTGTACCAGAAAAGAAGTAAGGCTCTAAATGAACACAGTGTCATCTTGAACTGTAATTTCTCACCCAGGGCTTCTTAGTCATCTGAACTGTAAACTCTTGGACTAAAAGGAACTATTGCTATGAACTGAACAGGGCCACAGAGAGATATCATTTGCAGGCTCCTCCATGACACTCAGCACAATAGTTGCACAGGCTTTCCTAATTTTACAGTTTTTGTAAAATAGGCAGAAATTACTACTTCCATTTTTATAGAGAGGGTATATGGAAGGGAAAGGCCCAACTCTCTGTTAAGGTAAAACATCTGTGAGTCAGAGGAAATTCACTGGCTTTAATACTTATTCCCAGTGGTATATACAAAATGTACACTCCCCCAGAAAATCAGAAGATGTGTCCAGGTTCACAAGATTAATATTCCCCTCTCTGAACACCCAACTGCCTACTTTTTAAAGAGGCCCCAATAACTTTCAAAAAAGTATAAATTTTCTTAAGCACTCCCTGCAAACGTAGTAAAAACTTAAACCTGCAATTCTAGGAAGTTCAGTTCACGAAAAGAGAAGTTTCAGTTTTGGTGTAAGATATTTCAAAATTTGCAAAAACTAAAATGAAGGTTAGCAAGTTCAACTGTTGCAAAACATTCTGTGTGAATAACATTAGTCTCTAAGGAAATATGTTTTAATCAAAGTTACCAGAATGCTCTGCAGTTTTAGAACTCAAAGTCACTGAAAAATGCCAGAGTCAGCTGAATTTTTCAAATTACTTCAAAGAAAACTGAGCACAGGCTTACCTGAACGTTCTCTTTGGGATAATAGAAGAAAAATGGCTTCAAAACCGGAGACCTAGAAACACAAAAACAACAAGCATAAATGCATTTAACTAGAAATTAATGAATGAGAACTAAGGGGAAATTAAAGCTGCTCAACCATAACTAACAATAGTTTTCCAAACAACTTTGGAAAGCCTAAGAAGTGTAAAAATTCCTTAAATTCCATTATTAAGAACATAAGACTTTTTAAAAAAAAAAAAAAATCCCAGAAAATTTTTCTGGGGGAAGATAGTCAAAATACCAAAAATATTTTCTTGACAAAGGATGCACTTCATGACACTGCAACCTGTTTCACTGTCAGCAGCCCCACATTAATAGCTAGGTTAGTTACACAGGGCTACTGGAAATATAGCTAGAGTTCCTTCTCCCATCTTCATGTGCAGTATTTGCTTAATGACAGGAAAGTTTTAAATGCTCTCATGAATAAGCATGAAAAGGTTGAGGATATAAACCACCAGCAGACCTTAGCTGTATCTAGAAAAACACTGAGTCAAACAAGGATTTTTTTTATATCCTTAACATTATTCTGGTCACCTCGCTCACGTAATGGTTTCATGATAATATTTTCTGGGATGTTCTGGAACATTTGACCTTGCATTTCTAGGTGAAGTGAGCTGGTACAGATGTAAATTTGGTGTGCCTGTATTCCAAACTAACAGCTACAAGAGAAAACTGGTCCAGAAATCTGCATGTATAACACATGGGTAAGCAACTGCCTTGCCACGAAGTCACACTTGAAGTTCTCCCTACAGGTCATTAACCAGACATTGTTATGAGCTGATAAGAGACTTACATAACTCATATTCAGTAATTCCATAAAGAATTTTACTACTTGCATACATATCTTATAGCACCCACTGTTACCTTGTTAGCACTTATTAAGCACAGCGTGCAACAGAAAGATTTAGTTGCCTCTGTGGTTGCTGTTGTAAGCTGGGGAAGCTTGTGATGGTGAGTGGTAGAAACACTATCATCATACACTAAAAAAAGTTAATCATCAGGAGTTAACTTACACTCTGGGGCGCCCTCCAACAATTCCAGTGAGGCCAGGTGCTGGAAATCAAAATTAAAATAACAAAAAAATAGTTAAAGCCATCTTCAGAACATTACAAGAATGTTTAAAACAATGATTAGAAGAATTAGAACATTATCATAGTTTGAATTTTTCCTTTAATACACATTTAATAAATACAGGAAAGTATGTATAGTCTTAAAGTAATAAAATAACATTTTATGCAACAGTCAAAAAGGCAAACCATGCAACTGTGACTTTTGACAAAAAATAAGAGTGTGCAAAGCATAAACTACATCTTTAGATTCTCCTTCCAAATATTTTTGTATGCCAGTGAGGCAATACATTTGATAAAGAATTTAGCTTTACTTTTTTTGTTGCTACTTTCAGTAGCTAACTTAACTTTCTTAAGGTGCTGGGTACTGCAGATCCCATTCTCTCTCCTTGATACATAGGGGCTTAGGGCACTAGCATGATCCCAGATTTGCAGTAAGTCAGCACAGTGATTAGATTCTTATTTATTCTCAATATCAGGTTGCCAAGCTTTACCACCATTAAATCCTTCCAGCCAGCTTGGTATTTCTGAAAAGAACAGTTCTGCTCTCCTCTTCCTGAGCATAACTTCTCACCCTTCTTTCTAGCATGGACAGCACACATGCATGAAGCATCAGAGCTCCACAGAGCATGGCAGGGGAAAGAAACAGTGAAGTGTATACATTATATCAGTCTAGGAATTAATTAGCAAGTGTGTTAAGCAGTCTCCTAAAAACAAGTGCTGTGGAAAGCTGCCCACATGCTTTATTTGGTCAAATTAATTCTGGCTAAAATGGGCTTCCTGCTTCCTCCACGTGTGAATTCCCTCTGTTTGTGCTTTAAACAGACGAAAAGCCACCTAACTGTGCTGTTGTGGTACTAAACTCACAGTGATAATACCTACTCCTCAGCTGGCTGTTCTAGTTTGGATTCAGTCCCTCGGTAATGTGGACACATATCAGTAGCAGCACAGATTACAGTGCTGCCATATTCATGCTCACTGGAAAGCGACTTCCCAAAAAAAAGCCTACATTTTATAGTAAAGTGAAAAAAAATGCCTTCATAAAAAAAGTACCATGAATAAACACCTCTCTTTCCACTAAGTTCTGCTGAAAAAATCCCTTACACTAGTGTTAAACAATTTTAAATGATCCAGTGAGGTTTCAGCACTATACATCTCACTCGTTCAAGCAGAGTTGCCATTCAACTACAAAACCAACTGCAGTTATTTTAAATTAAATTGAACTATGTGCCTAGTTTGTTTATTTAGGTTGTTGGAGGAAGAGGCTGGATATGGAAAGGTCATGTTGAAAATATCGGTTCATGAAGCTGGTTATCTGTGGATTGTCACATGGGTCACTTCCTGCTAGCCAGCTGAACTGCTCATTAAGGATACCAGATTTTGCTCCAACATCAGTTTCAATTTCCTGAAAGCTCTCGAAAAAAATTCTTCACTTGCCAGCTCTCACACAGTGGATCTTGGCTCCTACAACAAAGCAGTTCTCTAAACACTGACAAGAAAACAATCCACCTAAGAGCAACCACTGCTCACACCTTGAGGTTACAATTACCTTCTATTGCTGCTCTTTGGAAGTTCTCCAGCACAAGCTACTGTAACAGCAGATCTGTCTCTGGAGGTACTACACCTACCCCTGCACATAAATGCAATTGCAGAGCAAAGCTACACAAATATCCCAGTTGGAACCTTATAAAGTTCTATTTTAAGATTATCCAATTCATTGCTCACGTGAACATAAATAAGATGGAAGCACTTTTAAGCCCAATTTAATTTTATCTACATGCAATTCCCGCTTAGGCTTCAGGCAGAGAAGATGAAGCCAATTTTAAACGGATTGTAGCTCACAATCAGTGATTTGTTTTTTGTGTAAACAGCACTACACCTCACCTCAACCCATGGCTCAGATCCCCATTACATTTCTCCAGTAAACCAAAAGACAGCAGCAGAAGGTGATGTAAAACCAGGTAACAGTGGGCTTGTCACTCAGGCCAGACCTATTTCTGCTAAGTAAATTGTGATCTCCTTGGATCACCTTGTTGCCCAAAGACAACACCTTCACGAAGATTTCTTCATGCAGAACACTTTATGCTTTGCATTGCTTGCTTAAGCATCTGTGCAGATGCTCTCCCTCCCTCCTTTCAGGAAGATTTATCTTTATTTACACTGACATGAACAATTTGTCACACTTGCAGAGAGTTTCAATCAGGCTGCAGTCTCAAGTCACTACAATTCTCAGCTAAACTGAAGCTGTTGTTCTCCTTTCCCATAAACTTTACATGACCACTTTTTGTTATCAGAGCTCCATTCATTATCATCTCATCTGCCAACAGTAAACCTCTTCAACAAGTCACTTCAAGTTGAAGAACAACCTCACCACCGTCTGCCAAATTCCATGTCTCAGAATGGCATGAAACTGATTCACTGCAAAATCAGCTGAATACCTTCAGGTTGGAGACCTTCCTTTCAATGCATTTAGATACTGATCATGTTCACCTGGAGGTACAGTATTTGTCTGGTGTAATCAAACTGCGTATTTTGATACTTACTGTGACTCAAGTGTTTGATCCAAAAGCCTGCCATTTCCAAGAACATTTTCCCTCACATTGTCTGAGGACCTAGCCTGATAACTAAAAATTCTCCAGGTGGCTGGGCATTTGAAACCAATGAGTCAGTACTGGGGATTACACCACTGGAATTCCACTGCTTTCATTAACTCCCAAATATATGGCATGGTCAGAAAGACATCAGGCACTAAGCCAATTAAATCTACTTCTTTCTAGGTGACTAAGCACTGGTACAGGACCCTTCCTTCGGACTCTGTCCTTAAAGGTTTGAATCTACACCGAATCTAAAAAATAGGCAAGTGCTTCTCTTTGGTTCAACTGCATGATTCTTCACAAAGTCTTATTCTGTCTTTTCATTTTATGGCTCCTTCCTCTAGCCTACTTTAACTCTTACTCATCTGCAGCCCAAGTACCTTAGGAAAAATAAATCATCAACCTCTGAGCGTACGTGTAATTTCTCACATTTTTTCCTTTGTGTCCATGATTCCTCCAGCCTACTTGCAAAACCCAAAATTTGGGGTCTACTAGCAAACTTGATGGAGAGGTATCTCAAGAATACCAAAGCACACTAGCACCCCATGACTATGACTCCACTGTGATTTTGCAGAGATGCAGTGACAGATATGGATGTAAATAATACAAGGTGAAGCTCATTGAAAATATACTCCTTGATACAACAGCTCAGCCGTTTCTGGTTTCCCATATATATTTTATCTCTCCACCTGCCTCTCGATGCCCTATAAAACTCATGTGTGGATGAACTTGCAGATACAAATACTTTTTAAAATCATACATGATATGCTGGAAAAGACGGCAAATTTTTGGTAAATTTTATGAACAGAGGCAGCAGGCAAACAGAAGAGTACTGGGAAAACCAATGTTGCTCTCAGTTGGGACAATTCAGGGAATGGATTGACTGAAAATCAGCTCTGGAAAAAAGATGCATAAAACTGGCCTAAACAGGCACCTATTTCAATATGCAGAACCACCAAATTCCAATACATTATAATCTATGCCATAGCTATCACACCCTGTAAAATGCCCAAAGCAGAAGCAGCTCTGGTTGGAACATGCAATCAACCTCTGAGATGCAAATTTCCAGCAAAGAAAGCTTCATTCCTTCCAGCTCTGATAATTCCCCACTCAATTTCAGACGGTGGAAGAGACTTATGCTTTGCCCAATTTTGGATTATTACTATTTATTCTTTAATCTACTTCTGTTACAATACTTCTGTACAACTCTGTGCACTTTTCAACAGAATAAACCATTAGGCAATATATGAGAGATGCTAGACTGCTTGAAGCATTTTTTAAAATGTTTTGGAGTAAACAAGTATGAAAATGTTCCACCTACTGGCAATCTAAAAAGCTTTATGCACTTTAATAGGTGGCACTTTCTTTGGAGCTTCACTGAATTCCAAAACGCAGTCATGTCTCTTGCTCACCAGCAATTTGACTCTAAATAGTTTGTTCCTTGTATTTCCAGTGATTGAATTAGATCAACCAAAAGGTTAATAACGTACTTACTGCATATTCTAATGAATTATACATATATTTATATATAAAAAACAGATATCAAAGCAGTCTACTTGTCAAACATTATTTTTAAGTGATGAAACTAGGCAAATCTGAAATCTCAGATTTTATACTCGACAGTTCTTACACTATGGTTGAGCACTAGCACAAAATGCACCCATTTTTTACAGGAGTCAATTACATGTTCTTAATTATTCTATGTCCTCTGAAAACAGCAGATAGTTTATCTTCTGCAATATTATTCTCAAAAAATGGTGACTGCAGTAAACTGCTAGAACAAGGACATTTCTGAAGTATCTTCCAACACACTTAGGAGATCAGTCATAATATTTACATATACTCAAGCACTTTAAAATCTCAAGCTGTATTAACCAGCTGTCATCTTAGTGTCAAACTCCGGTCATTTTAATGTGAAATAAGGGTCAGCGCATGATTTCAGCTATTAGCAAAACATTTCTTAGCTACTGAACCCCTGTTAAACTGTAAATGCCAGTTTCCCACAGTAAGGCTCTTCTTGAGCCTCTTCTACACTGCCTTTCATTCAGAATTAAATATCTGAATTAAAGAAGACAAAATAAATACACTAAATCAACACAAATTATTTAAATTCTAACGATTTGGATGACTGTACTCTATATAATAAAGACATTTTCACCAAGTAATACCAGCCTGGTCTGTGTTTGCTAGCTTTTATGAAGTGAGGGTAAATTTCTATGGACAGGACAATGCAGAATTGCACTGAACTTCCACAGGCTACTACAGATTTAAAAATCTGAATCTGTGTGTCTAGGATTCTTCATTGCCAAGTTTAGGAAAGCTCACTTTATGTAACAGGAAAAAAACTGTGAAGACCCCACTATTAGGACTAAACAGTTCACAGTAGAAGTTTGGTTTGTGGTTTTTGGTTTGTTTGGTTTTTTTCAGGAGACCACACTTGCTTAAAAGCAAACAAACTTACTGGAATCTCTTAAAAAAATCCTGGCTATTATCAACTTTCAGACTACTGAGGACTAAACAGAAAGCATAATCTTATCAACTGAAAGTTTAACAAACTCAACTATTAATTGTAAAAAAAGATTAAAAGACAGGATTAGGTGCATTTGGTCTTTTTTTTTAAATAATTTGTATCCCTTTAAATTCATCAGAAGAGCATAATCCAAATGTAAAATGATTAAGTGTTTGAACTGGTAAACTAAATACCATACTCAACAGAAGTTTACTGTAGATATCTTCCATTCCAAACAGAAAAAAAAAACCAAAACAAAACAACAAACTGCTCTCTAAGGTATGGCATGTCTATATACAGTAGCTTCAAATTCTTCTCTGGGCTTAAGAATCTCATCTGCAGTTTCAACAACACTTAAAAACAATTTCTGTGGAAGTACACTCATGTGTCCCACTGGTCTTCAACAAAATCAATGGAAATTTAAAAAGTATTAGAAAAAATGTTAGGGAATACCTATGAAAATCTCAGTCTTTCACTCTTGATTACGGAAGGCTCTTATTAAGAGATGCAATTTCTCAAAATTCTCTCTTGAACGTCTAACTCCATTGCAGAGCACAAACACACACAGGCTTCAACCTATAGATGGTATTCCTTCTTTTTACACAGAGGATAAGATTTCATAAGAAATTGAGAATATCAGACTGGTACAGTGCCTTGAAGATGGTTGTCTTTCTATTGATTACCAGAAGTAGACCTACAATAAATGGAGGAGGAAGGGGGGGGAGAAGGAGGAATCAACACTCTTAAATTGACTAGAAGCTATAGAAGCTATACAGTACTTTCCTTTTATGAGGTATAAGTTCTATTATCCTTTACATATATGAATACACAATAAAATGTATCATATCAAAAATATGTTGCAAAGTAAGTCAGAAAATAAATACTAACATTAAGACTTTAAATTTACTAAAAAACACATCTTTGACACTCAAGACTTAACACCTAAAGTTCTAAGTCTCTGAACTGAAGCATTATGAAGATCAATCCTCAACAAAATTATTGCGCTTTTTAATCAGAGGAAGAAAAAGAATTTCTTTTTATCTTATTGTTGTTCTCTGCAAAGCCTGAAAATATGTAACTGAGAACTCCCTCAAAAAGTTTCAGGTAAATAGCTAAAAAATTTTATCTCAAGCGTTTTAAATTTAGTCTAAGTGAGAATAACCAAAACTAGTCTTTTAGTACTGACTTTAATAGAAATTAATACCTATTTTTACCTAGAATGTATAATTTTCATATTATGGTACTACCAAAATAAACCTACCTACCACCTCTAGCTCAGGGCTCCACAAGTAGTAACTAGCAGGCTAAACCCATCTGATGAAACACTAAGAGTGACGGTACTCCTGTATTTCATCTCAAAAGATGCAGCAGGAGCTCTTGCGGTTCCCCACCCTTATTCTGAGCCATCAAATACACTTTCTCAATCACTCTTCCATTCCTCATTCCTACATTTTAGACAGCTTGGTCCCCTTAAATGTTGGCAGAGTTGCTCTTTAGCATTTCTTACAGGGGAAGCAGAACCAAGGACTCTGATTCACATTCTTTTGTCGTTTTACTTTCTTCCACTATCTCAGGAAACCATCTGTAAAGCAGACAAAATACTTTCCAATGTTACTAGAAAATAGAAAGCTTAGCTGAGTGTCTTTACACAGCTTTCTAAAGATTCTTAGATGAAAGGTGCTATGTATGAAAGTTATCATCTGTACAACTGTCCACACGTCACTTAAGAGTAACAAACATCAAACTGCTATTGAGGTGAAAGGAGAACAGAGTTAAAAACAATATTTCACAATCACTAGATACAGTTCAAGCAGAAGGGTAAATCTTTTTTTCTTTTCTTTTTTTTTCCTTTTTGTCTGGTACAAATCTAGTAAATGTACTTTGTTTTTTAAAGGTCACTCTTAAATGTCCAAAAATAATGTAATGGAAGTGTTTCAGTTCAGGTGACATCACCCCGCAAGTCGACAACAAATCCTTTCTCCCTGCTGTCCCTTATGAAGGATCTATAATTTGTCCTTGCTTTTCCTCAGTTCTTCATTAAAAGAATATGCAAAAATAAGAAGTAAGGGTTATTTGCCATGACTCTCAGTCACTATCTCATCCCCTGGAAGTGAAAGGAGAGTTGGAAGGGGCATGACCAAGCTGGCAATCCTTAAAACACAGGACTTCATTGTTTAAAGGATTTTCATCAGGAAAAGCCACATGCTTAAAATTCTCACTTGGTGTGCATCCCTACAACTGGCACCATTTTGGCAGAACAAAGCCACACAAGGTCACATCACACAGATCCACGTGGGAAGCGGAAAACCACAGCTGATAGGTATGGTCCATCCACGTAAGAGAATTCACCTAGGACAACGACAATCTCAACAATCTTAGGTCTGGCTTCTGTTCCCAAGATCATTTACCCATCTCTTCAAGTCTTGCCTATGGAGCTGCCTGTTTTAAGACAATTAAGCATCAGGAATTCCTTGTTCTGCTCTTCCAAGCAAGTCCTGGAAACCTACACTACTGTCAGAAACCAAGCATTGTTAAGCTGATTCAGCACTAATTACTGTTTGGCAGTGTTTCACAATTCTAAATCTCCCTGAAGAAAGAAAAGAATCTTCATAATCACTGCTTTAAGCATATTCCACATCAACAAGTAGCCTATGAAGCATTTATTTCCCAAATCTGACCCTTCTCTGCATACAGAAGAGTTTATTCAGTGCAGGTAATACAGAAATTTATCACACAACAGCAACTGAAAGAAGTGATTGTATGAGACATTCACAATAGATCTTCAACAAATTAAAAAGAATGACTATGTGGTTGTTCAGGCACTCAGAGGCATGTCAGTAAATGGCTCTGATACTCTCTGACACCAGTTATTTATATCATGGAGGCCAAAAACCTTGTTGCAGTCCTGTACCTGGCAAGCAGAAGTGCTATTTATCACCAGATGCCACAGATGATGCCAGAAATATCCTCTTTCCCATTGCTGCTCATTAGCAGTGCTTCTATAATTGAAACAGACTTCAATTTTTTTTGAGAATAACTGCTACAGGGTTCCAAAAAGCTTAAGCTGTTCCCTTAAGAAACAAAATTAGCACTCCTACCACCATCCACAGAGACTGCCTAACCCTGTTCTACACAGGAATGCATTTGTTTCATCACAAAAGCCCTGATAATATGAACTGAAAGTCTGCCAGCCTCCTTAAGGCACAGATGTTCACATACTATGGTAACTCAATTTCAATACTGTATATACTCCACCCAATCCATGTAGTGCACATTTTTTTATTTTTTCATTCTGCAAAGATCAATGGCAAAAGGAAAACACTGAACCCTTAATAAACCTAACACTTTCAGACTTCAAAGGTGGTTTATATATGTAGCAGTTGCTTTATAAAAGAAGCAACAAAGAGAGACAAGTACAGGTCCATTAGCTTTGGATCTTACAAATAAGCAAATATTTTAAAATCCACCCAGCTTTACTTCATTCAAAAAGACTTTTTCTAGGAGATTGTCTATACACATATAGAATAAATAGTAAGAATAGATTTTTACTTTCATAGTCTGCTTGACTAAAGAAAAAACTACTTCAGTTACATATCCCTAAGTAATTATAAAATGAGAGTTTGGTCCAATGGTGAAAACACAATTTTTCATTCACTAGCTAAAACCCAAGTCTTTAGAGGCAACTTATATCTGTGCTGCATGCTGACTCACTAATCAGCCTTCAGAATTGCAATTAGTATCCACAACGTGAGCACCAAATCACAACGTATGAATGAGCTACTTAGAACTGAGATGGATACAGTGGTGCCACTTAAGGGACTTGTGAAGAGAACAGAAGAATAAAAGTTTGCTCAAAATAATCCAACAGTAAGTCTTCCTAGAAAATTCAGAGAATCCAATGACATTTACAAAGAACAAATGTGAACTTTTTTGGAACAAACATTAGGCAATCAGTAGAAGCACAGACCATTTCACATTAGGTGACTTATGCAAATACTTTAAAATATACCCCCAAGACTGAGATGGACTTAATTAAATCCCAGTATTTTAACTCATGTCAATTAAAAAATAAATCTTTTAATCGTTGCAATACATCACCAATTCATACAAAATCAAGCGTTGAAGACAGAATAATTTGAGGTTAGACCTTAACACTGCAGGGTAGTTAAGGGTAGTTAAGTTGGGTAGTTACTATGCACTGTGAACTAAGAATTAGATGCAAGTCATTAGTACCATCACTGCAAAATTAAATTTTCTGAATTATTGCTGAAAGTTGTAACCACTTATACACGCAGTTGCACATTACACAGGTTAAAAGTACAGTAGCATCAATGAAAATTCGTTGCAGTAACAACAGATAATAAAGTACTGAAGAGAACCTTCAAAACCCTCCAACTGCACAACTCTTCATAAACTGCAATGTTATAGCTGGACACTGTGGTAAATTTTTGCCAGCTGAGTAACACTCAATGTTTATTGGCAGTGAAGTCTAACAGCATCACTAATTTCTAGTAACATGGTAGAAGACAGTAAAACTCAGTGCAGCCACACGTAGCAAAACAAAGACAAATGAGGGAAAAACAAAAAACCCAGGAAGGAACAGTAGCAGCAATGTAAGGATAGAGTTTCAGAGAAGGCAAACTTCCAGGACTATCAGTTTATCATTTTGCTAATGTCTGTGGGTCCCATTTCTAAACCAAACATAAATACCCTTTAAAGAATTATTTCACTACGAACAACACACTGAAGCTGAACACAACTAAGTCTTTGGGTGCTAGTCATGCTCAGAGAATTAAATAAAGAAGTTAACTTTAAAATTCTTAGAAGATGACATGAGTACTTACCCATGCCAGTTCCAGCTGGTGCAATCTCTCTAGAGAAGATTTCTACAGCTTCTTTTTGTTTATGGTGTACAGCAAGCCAAATTACTGCTTCTCGAGGACTCTGCTTCAAAAGGTTGAAATTAGATTAGCTCAGATGTAGAATATTGGTTACATTTACCAAACTGAAAAATAACTGTAGCTCATCATTCAAGTTATATCGTTCAGTGACTTTTCACCCACCATCACTATAATCTGCTGTTAATAATTTCATTATCTTTATTTTGCTACCACAGAATCAACTACTGAATATTTCAGACTGCTAGGACACTGTGCCTCTTCTCCAGCATTCTCCAAGAATTAAGTACTGTAACTAACAACACCAAATACTTGGCTTCACTCAGTGGAATTGGCAAACAAACTTTACTCTTATTCTAAGAGCACTGAGAGTACTCTGGGGCCAAGTCAGAGAGCCAGATTCGCTTCTCTTAGCATCAAGAAGGAAGCAGATCTGTCCACAGAAAAGAATTCAAACCTAATCTTTGGGAGAGAAATGTGAGAATGGAACTTGTAAAACCCACCATGATTTCAGAGAAAAGGAAGATGATCCCTCTAAAGGTAAATCAAACCAATAGTGTGCTCCGTACTCTACAGTCAACTAAAACACCTGCCGTTGCAGATAGATAAGCACTGTCTCTCACGTAAGATTTTACTTCTTTAAAAGTCTACTGTCAGCCACTGAAGGATCTACCAATGGAATCAATACACAGGCAAAAGCCTTGGACTAAACATTAGGTCTCACTGAGGGCAGACTATTTATTCAAGAATTTGCAATCACCATTAGGAACCACCTTTGGTCTACTTTTGAATCTATAAAACCTGCTCACAATAGAAGTCTGTCTCTGAATGCCTCTTACTTGCCTTAAAGCACAAGTGCAAGCACACATGAAATGGGACTGCACAAGGCATCAAAATCTGCTGGTCAGGAGTTTCTCACAGCACTACTCAGGTACAGATTTCTGCAGCAGAGTATTTCCTCTCTCTCAAAGTCATCTCTTGTTTTGTTAATGAATACAAAGTTTCTAAACGTTCTTGGGTAACCTTACATGAAATTCTTGGTTTACTTAAATCAATACAAAATTCACAAAAGGACAAATTTGACTACAAGATACTAGGAGATTTCTTCCAGTGTTTATGTCCTTCTTTATGTCAACAGGAAAGGATATATTTCATAGAAGCATGGAAAAAAACCCCAAAATTTGTGTGGAGTTGGTTTGTTTTGTTATTCTATAGAGCTCAGAGCACTTCATAATTCTTTAAATGGCCTAACTATTTTTTTCTCTTTCTATTTTAGCTTTTGATATCCCAAAGAGACCATTATGTTAACAGACTACTAAACCTTCTATTCCTACTCAAATACATGACAAAAACCTCTCCACAAACAGGATCACTTATGTCAGGCGAGGAAAACTTCCTACTTTATAGCTGGTGATCAGCTAAAATTCAATAATGAAGAGCCTTCTTGTTTTAGTATGTTTAAACCAATGTCCTAAGTATTCATGAAGCTGAAAGATTATTTTTCTCTACTCCCAATTCTAGTGGCATATCCACACAGAGGTACTCTGAGGTACAGTAATGAAAAACTTCATTGCTTCCTTTTTTCTTAAGCACTCCTACACAGACATACTCATAGGACATACAAGGTTCAGTTCTCAGCCTCCAAACTCCCAGCCTGGAAAATACCTGCCACAATACTCTCACATGGGAAATCCTGCAAACTTGATTCACATTTCTATCAGATGATTTCAATACTTGTGTAGGCAAACCCTAAAATAAAAGTTTAGTAGAGTCAAGGAAGAAAAGGTTATATTATTTCTGATCATGTAGATCAGGCATCACTCAAAGGATAAAAATTTCCTTCTATGAATATAGGAAGAGATGACCTGTTCAAGACAACAGAGATAAAAACTATCTCTGGGAAAAAAAAAAATTCCAGTTTAAGAAAGTTTCACTAAGCTGATGTAAAAAACCAGTTGCTACACAAATATATGCAGACATGCAACAAACCCAACAAATGAGTCATTTTAACAGTCACTGTTCCCAAAGCTATCACATGGTTCATTAAATTACTACAGATAATAATGAATAAGAAATGGCTTTGCACAAAACATACTAATGCATTCACATGCTTTCTGCTTCTACTTCATTTCAAATTCTAGATTTACTTCCTTGCTCACAGATGCAACATACAATGGTCCATGAAAATAAGATGAATCCGGTTTTGAGTGGCTGAATCCAATATTAAAACTAGATATAAAAGCTAAAGTCATTAATCTTCCAGCGTCAGAATTAAAATAAAAAATAAGAAAATGAAGTCTTAACAATGTGTTGTACATCAGTTAACAAAGGGTGAGCAGAAAACTAATAGCACATACAGTTTTTATGTAGCAAACTCTAATGCTCGATGCACTATTAATACATATCTTTTACAAGAAACACATTCAGTATTTCTAAACAACTCACTGACACTTTGTCACTGTCTTAACTCCTTCCCCCCCGGTAAAAAACGACATAAGAGGAGATAAATAAAAACAAACAAACAAAAAACCAAACACCACTACGGTGTGGATTCAGGTCTCTTTCTTGCTCATACTGGACTGCTGCTGACAAAGCAAGCTACCAGAGTGCCAAGCAGCAACCACAGAAACAAGCAGAGAAGTTTGAGAAAGGAAAGGGGGCAAGCATTTCTTTATTTCTCAGGATACTTCACGCTGTCAGGAAGAGTCAATACTCCACAAGCAGCTCAGACTACAGTATACAGGCCTATATAAGCCTGGCATTTACAGTGATTTCACAGCTGCAAAGGCAAACCTCTGCACTAGTTTGAGAGATGTGCATGAGAATTAGTCCAGTCAAACCAGCTGTCTACACTGAGCTCCAAATGTTGTTCAACTTACCCTGTCTTGGTATTCACTTATATATTTACTTCTCTTCAAATTCATATGGTAGAACCTTCAAGGCAGGAACTGTTTTTCTTGTGTGTTAATATTCTGCTTAGCATAATATGGCTCTGGTTTAGAGCACTGTGATTTGTAACCCAAACAACCATGTCTAATTTTGCATGGAAAGACATGGTAGGAAAGAGTGTTTAAGGGACTACATTATTCCTACCTGAAGCCCTAATGGGCAAATGTTTTCCTTAGGATTCTATGACTTCATATTTCAAATGGAAAAGCAAATCCCAATTCCCAATTCCCAACCCCTTTTCTCAAGCGCCTACGTCTGCTTTCCAGATGAAAACTCCTCTGGCTAGTTTCTTCTAAAACGCTGGAGGAACCATGAAGGGGGAAGGCAATAGAGCGATTTCCTGCATTTCAGCCTCAGCTCTCACATCCTGTTTAAGGCATGTTTGAGGAGCACAGACAATGGCGATAACGCTGTGTTTACTTTTACTATGAGACCTGGGAGCTGAGGCTGGAAATACAGAAAATACTACAAATACTCATTTTCATTCGAAAAAATTCTTTAGTTTTCTGTAAGCAAGGTAAACTAAACGATCATGAAGGAGAAAGTGCTCTTCTTCAACTCATTATTCACTCCATACAATGACAGAAAACTTCCGACGTAACAATTTAACTAAAGAATATATTACAATACATAATCGTAAGGAGCTGGTATGAACAGAACACAGACAAGTTCAACATCTGGAACATCTGTTCCTATGTTTCAAAATTTTGAGGCTGCAATCTCAGTAACACACTTAAAATTGCAGGCTTTATGATCCTAAAATGAAAAAGACCACAATATAAAGCTTGGTCCCCTCAGGAAGCAAGTCCTGTTGCTGTACAGAAGGAAATTGAAACTCAAGCACTGAAATGAATAGCTGCAGATACAACTTGACCAATCCCAAGGAACACTTAATTTCAGTAGTAAGAAGTTCACTGTCCTTCTCCAGGTCACATTCTTTTTTCCCATACAACACAAACTGTCAGCTATTAAGTGTCAGCACTCCTGAGAACAAACTTAGAGAGCTGAGTTTTGCCACGTGTACCTTAAGAGTTTTCCAAGACTGCCACTGACAAAGAAGAATTAAATGCTACTGTTTTGGAACAAACTAAACTGTCTAAATATTTAAAGTGCCTGTAAGTGAGGGTAAGATTTACATTTTTCCTTTAAAAAGGACTTTCACACTCCAAGATTAGGAAAACAGACCATTGGATATCACAGCTGCAGTGGCTATGGTCATCATTCATATTCCTACATGTGAATTTATTCAGTCACAAAATACAATGCAGAGTTATGTATGTGAAGATTATTTCACAAGTAGTACTCACAGGTAGTTTTAAAGTTGTGCAGGCAACAATAATGCTGATGCTTCCTAACTCTGCAATATTTATAATGTGGTCTTTTAGCATTATCATCTAATGCAATTTAAGTCTACGCCATAAAAAATTTATTATAAGACATTTCTTTAGATGAACAACATTAGAACAGACTCCAACAACATTTTTGTAAGATTTCATATCAGTGCCTCTGGAAGACCCAATACTGCAAAGACCCTGTCAGTGTTAATTTTGTACACTAAGTAGTGACACTGAATTCTTTGCAACATGAAGGGGTGAAATTCCCAAGATGATAGTGACTTCCTTTAAAGTTGTGGAAAAGATAACAATGTGGAAAGATTAAAAGAGGTCAGTAAAAGTTTAAGAACACTCCACTGAATACTTACACCATCTATATTCCTTCTAGCATGAGGTCCATATGTATCTTCAGACCCTAAAACCTCTATGTTAACTGCACTGTAATCTTCATAACCGAGCTGACTGAAAATAAGACGAGTCCTGCAACAAATGATTTTTTTTTTCATTAGTAAACTGCCTCAAAACAATTATCTGAAGTAGCCATGTGTGGTCCACAGAAGTTAGCTCTGTCATGTAAACTGGACCATGAATACTTTACAGTAAACAAACGTATCTGAAAACTACAAATCAAGTGATTACACGGAAGTCATGCCTATGAGTTTATCCCTAGGTTTCAAACCGAGCCTTTTGTTTATTCAAATTATTTGAAAGATAATAGGCAAAGACAAATAAATGTATTTCAGTTCTTACTTGTATATTTGAAACAAAGACAGCTTCAAATGTCATTAGAGTATATGCAATCTTCCTGGGTCTCACACTGCTAATTCAGTTTGTAACTCTGTTTCTACTATAAGGCATTACAAACTACCAATAAATACATGAAACGACCTTGTTACATCACAGGCACTGATGAAGCAGCGGCTGGGGGTGGGGAATCAAATGAAGAAGGAACACTTACTCAAACCTAGAAGATGTTTACTTGGAATTAATGAACATACAATTCAAATGCCAAATAGCAGATAATGTTTTTAAAGAGCATGTTTTTTCATCACTAACGCCTTTCCAGTCTGACACTGAAATCTCTCAAACTCCTTCTATAAAAAGGGTATTCCCACTACAAAGCACATTGTGTCGAGTGCCTACTCTGTCCAATCACAATAGAGTATGAACATTACCTTTTTATACAGCATGAAAACACACACCGCTTTAAGAGAGACAGGAATTAATACTGGGTTTTGACAAATATTAAATTTAGAATAAATAGGCTGCTTGCAACAACTCAGAGAAAAACAGCCCAACTGTCAAGTAAAAAAACCAAAAATGACTACAGTTTACAAAAAAAAAAAAAAAAAAAGACACACCACAACACAAAAACCCCACAGTAAAAAAAAAAAGTTAGAAAAAAGTTTTAAAGGACACAACTGTTAAAAATAGTCCAACTTGTTAACATGTTGCAGACTGGAAAAATAAGTTAACTTCTAAGACCCTACACTGGTTTCCTAAGAATCTTAGTCTGGCACCCTTCTAGATGGAAAAAAGATTTCATCACTTGAAACCTTGGAATTATGTTAGGATGAGAAAAATATTTTGCATTGGTGGAACATTTCACTGCTAATATATAATTTTTGCCATAAATATTAGCATGGCACCTGAAAAAATGAAGCAATGTACAGGAATTAAATACAGAATATGATTTTGTAATTGCTGTAAAGAAATGAAGGTGGTTCATGTACCACAAATGAGGCCACCTTTAATTTTGATAAGAAAAAAGGAAAAGAGACAGATATCTCATTTAAGGTAACTAAATTTGCAAACTGTCTCTGTAGTAAGTTATTTTAAATTATTCATCTACAAACATTACAGTCAGAGATATTACAGTTCAAAATACATTCTGTGGGTAATTTTTAGACCTTTCGTTTGTGTTGCTAATGCAACAGAGAATCATCAAAAATAAAAGGACACCAGAGACTACTCCAAAAAGACTTCTTCACTCACATATTGCCAAATCTCTCCTGCTTTCAATAATGAATAAATAAATAAAGGAGAACCATGCAAAACAGAAGTGAGAAAAGTCGTATTACAAGCTGCCGAAGCTGCTTAATATCTTAGGCTGACAATTAATTTAACCTGTATAAGTGAAACACCTTAAATTTGTGCATCTTCCTCTGTACTTGCTGCCACTAGACTGCTGGGCAGAATTTAACCTAGAACAGACTGAAAGTTGGTTAGAATATTCTCTTGAAACAGAGAGACCTGGACACACTGTAAATGGGCTAAGGACGACGGCATGATGTTCATTCAGTGAGGTGAAGTGCTGGGCCCTGCAATTGTGTCGCAACCCCAGGCAGTGCTACAGACTGGGGGAAAATGGCTTGAGAGATGTTCAGCAGAGAGGGACTTGGGCGTGCTGGCTCACAGCCAGCTGAACAGGAGCCAGCAGCGTGCCCAGGTGGCCAAGAAGGCCGATGGCATCCTGGCTTGGATAAAGACGTTTAGCCAGCAGAAGAAGCAGGGAAGTGATCATCCCCCTGTACTCGGCATGGTGAGGCTGCATTTAGTTCTGGCCCCTCACTTTAAAAATGACATTGAGGTGCTGGAGTGCATCCAGAGAAGGGCAACAAGGCTCATGGAAGGTCTAGAAAATATGTCTTATGAGGAATAGACGAGGGAGCTGAATTTGTTTAGCCTGGAGAAGAGGAGGCTCAGGGGGGACCTCATCACTCTCTACAACTATCCAAAAGGACAGTGAGGTGCGGGGTCAGTCACTTCTACCATAACTGCAGTGAAAGGACAAGAGGAAATGGCCTTAAGTTGAGCCAGGGGAGATTCAGATTAGATATTAGAAAAAAAAATTTTCACTGTTGGAGTGATCAGGCATTAGAACAGGTTGTCCAGGGAGGTGGCAGAGTCACCACTGCTGAAGGTGTTTAAGAGGCACCTGGATCTGGCACTGGGCAATGTGGTTTAGGGATTACACGATGACAGTGATCATCCTGGGTTGATGGTTGGACTTGATGATCTTAAAGGTCTTTTCCAGCCTCGACAATTCTATGAACAGGAATTGACTGAAATTAACATTTCCTACAGAGATATCACTGCTGGTAGAGCACTCTCTGAGAAGGATCCGATCAGTGTAATTCTTATTCTCTGTCTGGGCTGATATACACATACCTTTTGAACATGCCACATAAAGTATTGCATATATTAAGCAGTTTAAGACTGCATTTGAGGTGGAAAATGTATTTTTGTGTATTGTGATTTTTAACACACAGAACATGCCTATACATGCCTCATGGGCTAGAGGTCACTTATCAAATAAACCAATCTTTTTTTTTTTTTTTCTAAAATAATGACCTAGTTTCCAGAAAGGTTGCTTTTCAGAGGTTCTGGGTTCTCGAGTCTCTCTATTTAACACTTCCTGAAGGTTGTTTCCCATCATTTGATTTTCTCAGCAGCTCTTGGACACATACCCTTTTAGCATTTGCACAGTTTACACATCCCCTATCAGTCTGCTCTCATCTGTCATGTCTCTTGAGGGAAGTCAGTCGATGACTCCTTCACCACAGTGCTGCACACAGGCACATGAACAGTCACTGTAAGTTCACAGTAAACCTTGCATTTCTGACTATTCTAACGTAGTTGCTGCATGGGTCTGTAACAGGATGGTGGGAAGTTTTATATAAAACACGGCACAAGGCAATTTATCTCATAACTAGAAAGACTAGGGCTACTGGAATAAGTGCTCAGAGACTCCTGTGAGCACATGGAATTGTATTTCAAAGGAATCCCTCCTTGATCAAATATACTGGCATGAGTGTAATTATATGTTGAAAGCAGGTTTCCTGAACTGGCTACTTAAGTCTTGAAATGTTCTCCAAACAGGAAGACTATAATCTTCAAGGGTTCTTACAAGGTTAATAATGTTGCCACCATATGTCACAGTTCTATTTTCATTACCTCTGAAAAAACAAAACAACCAAAAACCAAACCCCCTTCCAAGAGTCAAATACTAACCTCTGCAGAATACCTTCTGCAGTGCGTTTTCCTTTTTGTACTGCCTTTGGACCTCCCACTGGACAGACAGCAGTAGCTCTGAAGCCATCAAGATAAGTGGCATTTACCTAAAAATAAAGGGATTATGAAATTACATGGAATTCAGTACTCATAAGCTGTAAATGCTCTCAAGCAATTATTATCTATACAAATACACACTTATTAACATTATACAAATTAACAAGTTTTTATATATCAAATAAGGTTTGTCTTTTTTATCTTTTCTCCTCTTTCTTTTACTCTTGGGGCAGAAAAATGAGGATCTCTCACACTTCACTGAATGAGGTAATACCTTATAAAATGTTGATGGAGGCGATCCTTTTGCTCCACAAACTTTCACTGCTCCACCATCAAAACCTATAGCGATTAAAAAAAAAATCAGTATTTAAGCTTCTTCAATATAACTTCAAAGACATTCTTTTGTGATGCATATTAATCAAATGCTCTTAATTAAAAAGTAAATCCTTGATAGCTATACTGCCACAGATGAGAGAACCTCTCACAAAACAGTCCTTCCTGCCTTAAAAAGAACAGTGGACTGGTGACTAAATTTATGACTTCCGGCAAGCCTTTTAAAAGGGTGACTGAAATGTTTATTCACACACTTGAAAATACTTAACACAGAAAGCAGCCTTAGGACTTCAGACTCAATAGTTATTTCCCACTAACAGCCAGTTATTGCACACACACACACACACACAGAGCACACAGTTTACTGCAGTTGGCTGGAGTGGATTGCAATCCCTCACTTGGTAAAGAAACAAAACAAGGTGGGAAACCATGAGAGCTTATTAGCTGATAGTAAGTGAAGGGATTACTTTTGCTTTCTTGTCAATAACAGAAACTGAACAGTCTGAATTTATGTTCCAGGGCAACTACCATGCTCAGTGTTAGGAGTATTAATGCCAAAAAAAACCAAAAAAAGAAGGAAATTGCCGTTTTGGCATCAGGTTCAAGCGTGAACTAGAGAAAAATCAATAAGTGCAACTCCTTTCAAATCAGCAGTGCAGGACCAGCACCTCATGCCAGAGAATTATACTATAGTTCACCTGTACCTAACCTGAGCTAGCAAATATTCAAGAAACAGTTCAAAGCTTTATACAAATACTCCGAAAAGACCAGATCAAAACGTATTTAAAATGTGCCTACTACAAATTTTACACTTCACTCTGCAAGACTGACATGAGGTTAATTTAACTGCCTGAATACAGAGCTACATCCCCTCCAGTCAGGGTAAAGATATGGAAGAGTTTCATGTTTCAGGTGAAGGAATAATAGAAAGAAAAAAGATCCCACAAAACAAATGCATAGCATCCATTGACAGGAAGAAAACAGAAGCACCTCTTAAACACTGCAAGTAACGCAGCAGCATAATAAAATTGGCAATGTAAACAGCAAAAGTAGATAGCTTGCCTGTTTTTACTGGTGTACGTGTCAAAGCACTTCAAACTGAAATATTTAAAAAATTTGCCCATTTTCCATCTGTTATATTTCTAAGAGGGCTAACTGAAAGTTCATGTGAAAGTTCATTTTAAGTTCAAACATGTCATATCAGGTCATTTGCAAGCTAAAAGTTCATAGGAAGGTTAGGGTTTCTTTCTTAAAAAAAAAAGACTAGAGGCTTAGAGTAGCAAACTGGCGTTATCACACTGCCATTTGGTTATGCTGCACGAGCAGAAGGTTCACTGTATTGTTTTATGGAATTTTTATTATTAAAATACTTTTCATGTTACAGCATTTTCAGTTTTATCACAGTAAGTTTTCAATTTGAGATTTCAATTGTTCTAAGCTTTATAAAGACACTACACATACTGTCACAGATAAGTTCTATTAGCATGAAAAAGGAAATAACATAGATTATGTAAAAAACAAACTTTAAATGAGTCTTGCTCAAACTACAGATCTTCAAATCTGTTCAGCCTGGGGGTTTTTTGTTTGTTTTGCTTTTCAAGCTAAATCCTGAACATATCCACCTTTAGTCTACTGGCAGTTAAGTGTTTCCAGAACAGCAAGTGGACTTTTTCAAACACAGATTTTCTGGTGGAAATCCTGTGCCTAAGCATGCTTCTACCACTTAAGATGATCCACCTAAACGTCTAAGTAAAACACTATTACCAAGTAGTGCTTTGGAAGACACAGCTTTCCATTGTTACTAACACTTAAAATGCCCTAAGTTAAAACACGTACACAACCTTTTTTTCTTTTTCCTTTTTTTTTTTTTTTTTGAGAAAAGAAATGGAGTTGCAGTTTAAAAAATACTGAAATCATAGTGGAGCTGTGTCAATGCTGTTCATACTGCATACACAGTATAAGGACTTGGTAGGTACAAGGCATGCATTAAAAAGTAAAGCCAAAGGAGTAGTGATCAAAGACATAAATTAGTCAGTCAGCAAGATCAATAAGAGTATGCTTAAAATTTCTAAAGGGATTTCTAGAAGAAGTCCTTGAAAAAAAATCAGTTTAATACAGTGTCATGCTCTAAGGAACTGATTTAACAAAAAATATGGAAAGACAACATGGAAATTAAAATGGCTGCTTTAGTTTGATAACACAATTCATTGACAGATCTCTTTATATGTAAGAGGACTCACCTGGAATTTCAGTGATGGAAACTTGGGAAAAGTCACATGTAACATCTGGTAAAAGATAGCGCTGAGGATTGCCCAATTCATACACCAACTGTTCAGCTACAGTGCCAAAAGAGATTAGTCCCCCTGTGTCTGGTGGTTTGGAAAGAATAAAGTCTCCTTCAGAGGAACATTCTACAATGGGAAAGCCTATGTTGTGCCTAGAATGTGAAAAACATTAAGAAAACCCTATAAATACAAAGGAAAAGTGAAAAGAAAAATTATTAACACCCCAACAGAATTTTATAGTAATGACCAATTAAAGAAAACTTATCAAGAATTAACAGATTTGCTTGTTTCTACAAAAATATACCTAAGAAAAAGCACTGAACGAACTGCTCAACTAAAATATTACGAGGGTGCAGTCTATCGCCTGGCAAAGAAATGCAGATATAAAAGCAGATACCAACAGCAAACATGGAAGTGAGGAGGGAAATGAAGAAGGACACTAACAGAAATGGTTTGAGTAAAAAGAAGCGGAAAGAATTAGAGGACTATAATTAAAGACATAAACTCAGAAGAAGAGCAATGATTGCTAATTCTAGCCCTGTTCAGCTGCTGCAGCACACACAGCATGAAAGCGAAGACATGTAAATAGATCCTGCACTCTGAATTTGTAAAAAGGCAGTCAAAGCAGGAAGAACAAACTGTGCTGGAAGCCTCAGAGATGAAGGGAAGTAGAAAACAGGAATATTCACACACATTAAGGACAATTTCATATGTTAATAAGAAATGATACACAGAACAGTTTTAATCAGAAAACAAAAAGATATATTACAGTTATGAACTTCAGTCCAGAAGACAGAACTAAGAGAAAATTATGAGGCATAGCAAAAAGAAAAGAGGTAAAGTTAGAGGCATGTTCATAAATTAAAATATTCCTCCTCCTCACGCTCTCACAAGCATAATATACAAAAAATAATTGAGTAACGCATAGTAAGAGGCACATGCTGGTCATTACAGCAGCAAGGCAGAATTTTTGGGATTATATGGATGAGATCCAGACATCTGCTTTTCTATCTAAAAGGTTTTTATTTTATTTACAGAGAATTTGAGCAAAACTACGGACTTAAAACTTTTCATAAGTACCTGAGAATTAAAATAAGTCCTAATATTCTTCTAAAAAGGCTACCTGGCTAATCCTCTCAGAGGAAGTCTGAAATTTGTACATGTGTCCCAGAGACACAAAATGAACACAAAAAGACAAGTTAAGGAGATGTAGTCCCTTGCCAAAGCCAAACTGTTCTAAAAAGGTTCTAATAATGAAAGGTGGTGAAGTTCACCACACTCATTAATAAGCCAGTGACCTTCAGCTCTCTTGCACAAACTTAAAATGAGTGTATCCCTGAATTTAATTATTTGCTAGGGGTAACAATGTGCTGAACATACAACCAAATTGGTTATCAGCAAAGGTTACAGGAACATAGTTTGTTTAACATAAATCCACAAAGTTTGGAAGAAAGTAAGCAAAGAAACCAGTGAACTCTTAAGGGACATTCGTAGAAGTTCATGGGAGTTTGAGCAGATTCCTTATCATTGGGAATATTCAAACATAACCCCATTATTTAAAAAAAGGATTAAGATACAAGATCTGTTACCAGAGATCAGCAACTTTAATGCTTATAGCGTACAAAACTTTAAAGTATGGTAGCTGGGAAACACCTAGAAAAGCCCACATCAAATCAGTGAAGATTATACTTCAATTCACTGGTCTTTGAAACTATTTAAACCACCAAATGTAGGGAAACAAACAAAAAAAAAAGCCCCCCTCGTGAACACAAAGAATTGAAACAAATCAACTTTTCATACAAGTTATTCTAGTGGGGTTTTTTGAGGGGAAGAGGAGGGAGAAAAGATGGTGGCAAGAAGTATAACACACAACATTTTGAAGTGTAACACAGAAAAAAACAACCCCCCAAAAAAATCTCACAATTCTAGATGTTGAACATTAATGTAGGGTAACATACATTACAGGTTACGTGCGTAATTATCCCAATTTTGTAAGTAAGGAGACACATAGAGGAAACATCATGACTTGTCCAGGGTAACAAAGCAGGATCAGTGATCAAACAAGGCTAGAATTAAGATGCTTTCACCCTCTGGGTGCCATCCTTGTGTGTTTTGACCCTACCACCTATCTGTCCTAAGTCAACAGCACCAGGTAGCTTGTGAGTAGGCTCCAAGCAGCTCATTCGAATCACCTACCTGAAAGATATCCCTTCCCTCAAGACAGATCACCCAGTGCAGTCTCACTGCACTGACAACCAGCATCCTTGCTGCAGCCCACTTTGATCTCAGACATCAGCACATGGAACTCTTACGATACATTCCTGCACTTATTCCTGAGTGATCTTTCTTTGGAAGGAAGAACTACACTGTAGACACTCAACTTCCTACTCTGAACCACTGAGTCTACTGACACTGATGGAACTTCATTTTGCCCAAGCTCCACTCTCAAAAGATCCAAGCTGTTAAAAAACAAAACCCAAATACACTGTAGTGAGGCAAAGGGAGAAATTTCACCCCCTAAAATGGTTATAATCTGACAAATACTTAAGCCATTAAAAGAAGACCAAACATGGATGACAGCAGATAAACAGTACCATTATTATTCAGGTCCCTCAGTATGCAAGAGGACAGACTCAGATTTTCTTGTTATCTTAGGGCCACAAAAGACAAGATCTTCATGGTGGAATTTTTTATACTGCCGCAGTAGCTGGAAGGAGCTCATATAGGTACTTGCTCAAACAGCTTCTGCATAGCCTCTAACACTGAGATGTATTTGCTATATGAAAACAGACACTCAGCTCTTATAACTTGCACGGTGTTGATACAAAGCTTGTAAGAAAATTGTCTGGAGAAGACATTTTAACACACAAAAAAGCCCCCACACAAAAACAAATACCACCCTCAAAAAAAGCAAACCAAAACAAAAAAACCACAAACACAAACAAACAAAAAACCAAACACCAAACCAAAGGGGAAAAATAAAAGTCTGAAAGTCTTCCTTGGAAAGGCATGATGACACAGGATACCAGCATGTCCTAGCATAATCAGAATTTTTAGGTATATTTAAACCATTCTGAAATTCATGACCCAGAAGGGTTAGTGAAAAGAACACAACAATCAGTGACGTATTTGGTCATCTCTTTCACTGTTACTCCATTTCACAGTGAAAGTATCAGGAAAGACTTTTAGTCTTTGTCAAAGATGAACATGAGGGATGTTTCCTCCTCAGGATACCACAGTACCCAGTGAACTTTCCTGAATGCTCAGTCAGTTGCAGAAGATGTGTGTTCTCCTAGGTCATGTCAGCTCTGAAATTTTTAATAATTCACAACACAGAGATGTAATGACTTGATCAAGTAGCCCCTGGATTCTATCTGTATTGTAACTGAATGACTGTAAAAACACATATATCCAAGTACTACCTTGTAGCAGATGCCATCAGTACCCCACATTAACATATGCATGCTTAAGAGAAAAATGTATTTTGTAAACTGCTAAAAGACCTTGCTTACAATTAATTTTCAGCATGGAAACCAACTGGTCTGTCACTCCTATGGCACGATTCAGTCAAGTGACAGCTACTGAAACCCGGCATTAAGAGTTCTCTAGCAGCAGTAGCTGCCTGGACCAGGTATTGTAGCACATATCACAGGTACTGTGATCACACCATCACCTTGACTAGCACTTCCAGTGTAAGTAGTAACTCTTTGCCCGTTTCACTAGTAGGTTTTTGCTGAATGACTACACACCATGTGACATCTGCTCTGAAGGGGACGTGCCAACTTTAGGCTGTCCATAACCCACAGCCAAGCTTTAACTTTGCAGTGTAGCAGGGGAGTTAAATCACAGAACTATGAACTTCAGCAGCAACTACAGTCTCGGCATCCAAAGTGGTACAGCATCTAAGTGGCACCTTTCAATAATAAAAGAATTGTATCAGTTTAGTGACAAAATTCCTACGCAGGACAAGGCAAGATCAAGCAATGTAAGTAATTCTGAAAGGGAACTACTAAAATGAATTCTAAGTAAATTATGTGATTGTGTAATTAATAAAATGCGATACTAGAAATAAATATCAAGTTGTACTTCTAAAATATTTTGAGCAGTTCTTTCAACGCAGAATTAAAATACAGAAGTACTATACATCAGTTTGTGAAAGGAGATGACAACTACCATTCTTTAATCCAATAGGTCCATTTCAGGTTGCTTGTTTGATATTTATCAATTAAATAAATTACATACCTTAGTCAACTACAGCACTGAATGAAACTAAGTTAAGACTAAACCTCAGAAAACCCCTCCGAGCTGGGGCTAAATGGGCATTCACAGTTAAAGCAGGTTCTCACTGACTACAGCACAGGGGTACCTAAAACCGTTTCTTCTGCTGCAAAAACCTCATCAACCACCTACATCTGCTGTTCTATTCTTACAGCAATTGAGACTCTGAAACTGACTCTCCTATCAGTTTTCTGCCTACCAATGACTTACTCTTGAATTCATTTTTTCCATGTAAAATGCTAGGGTTTTTTCAGTTTTGACTGTCAGAAATGTTACAGTTTAGGGGCATGTAACAGGTGATAACTTGAACTGTCTAAGCAGACATCCCTCTCTCTCTCCGGGACAATTCACTATTCAACTCTGTGGAGCCTTTCTTATTATTTGCCATGCATCTTACACCACTTGCATTATAACAAAAGGAAAATCCATGATCAGTACTTCGGGGAAAGACCTTGTTTGAGACAGGTCATAAAGTGTCAAATCCCTCAAGAATCTCATTCTAGCCGCTACTGCTACACTGAGGAGAATAATGGCAACAGAAGATGGGACTGTTGGTGTAACACATTTACTTGCAAGGGAGGTTACTGCAAGAAAACCAAAAAGCCACAGCAATGTATGTCACGTAGAAGTAAACCAGAATCCAAGTGAGCTGTGGTATGAACTTCCAGCTTTACAACTAATACAGTTTCCTGGGACGTGACTCAATGAATGTCACGCTGAGGAGAGCTCTAAGCCAAGCTTCTCAGCTGCCTGGGTACGTATTTTAACCACAATGCTGTTAGGCAAAAAGGAGAAGCTCCTACCACTTCTAGCAGTGTTTTGACAACAAGTTCAAAACTGGTAAAGCATCAGGCAAGATCAGCACAAACTTATG